ATATTCGGACCTTAGCTTAAAACTTTTGTTCTTTTTGCCCTATTTTAAATATATTGTCATTAAACCGCAGTGCCTAACCGAACTATAGATTCGATTTAATATCGATTTAGGCTTAATTCTTGTAAGTCCAACGGAATGCAAAATAGACAGTTAAACGCCTTTGTGGATTATTATTGGCGTTACAACGTCACAAAGTAACAATAAATTATTACTACTATTGTGGACAGTTTAATATGTCTGAAAGTACTCGATTAGGGACCGACGTCCCAGATTGGATTATTTATTCAAGCGCGTTTGACCGTCCCTTGTCATAAATAAATTGAGTTAATCGCCACGAGAATTCAAGCTTATTTTTCGTTTGGCCAAATATTACAGTACTGTGGTTTCTCTTTAGCGCAAAATAGATTGCTTTGGTGCACGCGTCTAACAAATCAGTTTTGAACGAGTAATGTTTAAGAAAACCAATATTTTTAATTTACACTAAATGATATGTCGGGACGTATTACTATTGGGAAAAATAATGTTTGTTCCATACCGTATTAAACATAGTTATAATAGTATAAGTCAAGTAGTCTTGGAAACTCTCACGGTGTGCTCGTAATAATAGTAATAATGTTATCTTTTAATTTCATTAAAAAAATAACAATTGTAGTATTATTTTCTTTGTTGTTGTTTTTTTTGTTAAATATTAATGTATTAAATTACACACAGAAGGTATGAACTCATTGTGTATTGCTTAACAATATTGAGAGTGTATGGTGAATAATATATGAAACAAAATGTATCGGCAAATACTCTTAAAAATACATTAAAAAACACAAGTACAGTTTTTAAAAAAATACTAAAGTAAAGAAAATCGGCTTTCTAAGTCCATAAAGGTGGTGTCATCCCAAAAGTGTAGGACTCATTTTCTAACAGTATGTACACAAAATTTCTCCCTTGCTTACATTGAAATATTTTTAACAGATGATTCAAATTAGAGCAACCGATTTTTAACGTTGTACAATAAAAAAATTATCTTACACCATAATACAAAAATCTGTAACGCGATTATTTGGTTTAAAAATAATATATAAAAACTTAAGGCTGATATCCTGTAAAATGTTGTGTTCGTGAAATGCAACTTAGTCATCGTTATAATGAATTTTGGTTTAAAAAGTAAGGGGCAATTGTTTTAAGTGGATTTAAAGATACATAAAATCCTACAGTCAGCAGTATTTAACGCTATTGTTCCATTTCTTAAAATGGTTTTAACAATGTGCGTCTATATCGTTTTTTTTTTTTTATTTGGCTTTATCGATCCAACAGTTTTCCCAAGTGTAAAGAATACTAATTAAGTTTTTTTCCCCCATCGGAAATGAAAGGATCAAGGTTTCTGTGAAATGCTGTTTTTTCAATTTTCAACCAAACCGCTCTTAATACTTATCGGTCGCGATTCAAGAAGAATAATGTTATACCAAAAAACTGTATTGTTATAACAGTGTTTTTAAAAATAAACTAAACAAACAAAATTTCATACTTAGAATAAAAATGTAATAATTATTAAACAACATTATGATATATAATTACAGTTTATTTTTTAAATACTAATATAAACGAAAACAAATACTCTAAAACTAGTCAACGAAACAATCTAATTAGCCAAATTATATATATATCTTTGGTCTACATTTCTATGTTGTGTTTGTAATAATGTATGTCATACATTTTTCTTAAAATGAATTAACACAATTGTAATGATCAAATCATTTTATTTATAAATCAGATAAAAAAAACCTGAGACTTTTCTGACCTAACTATACTCCAACCTTACTGTGCAAGCCTTTTGTATTATGTTTTTATTCCAAAAACAAACAAAAAATGTAAATTTAATAATTTGATAAACTTCAAAAAAGATTCATTGAATTCATAATTTGTTGAGAAACACCCTATGTAAATATATACAACCAATAATAAAATTGTTAAAACAATTTGGATTGACCGTACTAGAATGAACCAATTATTAGCCAATTGTTACTTTTAACGGTTTTTAAAAATCAAAAGGAGTTTCTCTAAGGAAGATTGTAAATTTCAACACTCATAAATATGTTTATACACATATATAGTTGAAATGGTGATGATTAGTGTCAAACCTTTTTTTTTTGTTTCTTTTTTCTTTCTAATCTTTTTCTGTAAATTGGGTTTCCTCGTAAGCCAAGATTGGCGGTACTTTAACTGTAGTGTTTTCTATTTGTAATTGGTTTCAGAGAGAGAGAGAGATATAGAAAACATTTCTGTTAATATTATTCATTGTCTATTTTAAAACCAACACATTGCCGCCTAGTATACCTGCGCAGTGCGTCATAACACGTTTAAACGAGGATTTGACCGCGTTTCTGTAACTTTACAGTGTAGTGCCCATTTTCCACTACGATAATACTATTGTGAACGACTCGAAGATCTTAATACACAACACCTTTGTGCACAATGCAATGTCTGAAGGTGGCGCATTTAAATCACCGCGGTTTCACGGCCATTAAATCCGAGTCTTACTACACTTAATTACACGAGTTAACGTTGCGGAAAAGTTTGCCCGAGATCAGAACCGCTCTGTTGTTGTGTTTTAAATAATAAAATAATAATATAATGTTCGCATCTATACTGTTGTCACGTGCACGCGATTGTCTTGTTCGCAGATTAACACAATAATTAACAAGGCCGTTAAAGCCGGTGCAAGAGTAGTCCGTACACGGGGTGTTAATCCTAACAGTAGTTGAGCTGTTGAAATTTAAATTTTGTCGCAGTACTACGATTAATGTATACAATAATTATTATTATTATTATTTTGCGACTTACTTTGACACTTTGGCACAAACGCGTTTCCCCTTTGATGAGAATCTGTAGATGGTAGAAATCCAAACATGTTTAGAAGCATTGTAATGGCAATAATTTGCTTGAAATTGTACCTTTAATAAAGAGTGGGACACGACTAGGATTGATCAATGCTATACAATAATTTGTTGTCGTTGTTAATTATTATCCATCATAATCAATGTAAACATTTTTCAGATATTAGTCGACTGTTGATTTACTCATACATTGGAATGAGATAGAAATTTAGTACGGTCAAAGTGTAATTTTCTCCCATTTATTTTGAGTTTTACAAAAAATTGAACTATAAAATTTCAATCGTTTGTTTCTATGTTTGAGGAGTGGAAAGTCTTTTACAATTTTTCACACTATATATGGTGAGAACACAAAAAATTGTATTGACTGAATGAAGGTTACATACATCTTCCTCATTTGTACTTGATTACTACAAAGTTCTTAAAAAAAAAAATAACAACATTAATTCTTGTATGATTCTAAATAAAAACGTAAAAAATGACCCGAAAAACTTTAAATTAGATAATGAAATTGAACAAGAAAACAAAATTAATAAAAAATAACAACTTTTAGCAAAGATATTAAATTTTTTTTAAAAAAATATACGAATATTAAGTTTTGTTTTTTATTTTAAGTACGATTTATACACTCTCCTTTTCAACTATTCTTTGAACGTATAACAATTCAATGCCAGTTCTGTAAATAGTTTTAAAAGTAAGTTTTAGCGATTGAACCAACATTGAACTTTTCATTAATAACACAAATAATTAAGTTCCTTATGAAAAATATAAAGTAATTTTCGATTCAGTTGTCCTTGTTCTGAGAAAAGGCATACTTGTTTCGGCATAAAAATATTTCAACCCAGTAAATCAATCGATCTCAAGAAGAAAAACGGAAAAAAAATACTTCTCGTTATTTTCTATTGAATAAACTTAAACGGTAAACAAGATTAAAACTAACATGTTATATTACAAAAACTGTCTTTACATAGTGGCGAAATACAATATTTTTCATTTTTATTTTTATTTTTAAAAAGAAATATAATATACAATCGTTACAAAACTTGTTGCTTGTTTAAATACGTTACAAAATGGTACTTTCTAAAGAGATATTTACAAAAGAATAATAAACTATAACGTTTTTAATATAGTTTTTTCAAAAATATTATATTATCAATATAAATCTGGAGCTACGTTGACGTTAGTTTTACGTGGATTTCTTTACGATCTCAGTCCTCATCTTATTTTTTCTAACTTTATTTACTTTTTTTTTCATTCTTTACTTTATTGAATACTAACATAATAATAAACGAAGAGAAAATATCACAAAGAGCAAAAACATATATATTAATAATTAATTTTGTGTACAATTTTTATAAGCAATATTGTATTCTACGTTTGCACTTGGCGAACATTTTTGATGTGGCTATTTACAACAGTATAAGAAACGGACAAAAATACTAAATTTCAGTCACATTTCAATGCATACCTCAGTCCTATAGGTAACTACTTAAATATTTAATTTACCGACTGAAAGCGGAATGATGTAAGGGATATTATTGCTGGATAAAGAAAGTTATTTCTAAGAAAGTATATTAAGTGTTCGGATATTGTTTCGGGCAAAATACACAGTTCGCTCGATAACTAAAAAAATATAAAATAGGTTTTCCAGAATAATTGGAAAATCATTATACCTATACTTTAAAAAAAAGAATCGTTTTTACTGAGAATTGTCCACCCATACTGGGAAAGAGTTTATTGTTTTTGTTTTAGCTTGTAAACGTTTGTCCGCCAACCGATACTACCGTTAGTGAACCAGTTTTTTTTCTTCAGAAAACGAATAAATGTATGTCAACATTTAAAATAATAATAACAACAACAATATTATGATGTGTACAATGAAATCGTAGCGGCAATAGAGGACGACCAATGGTTATTATCAATTGTTATCAGTTGTTATCAATTGTTATCAATTGCTATCAGTTTGATTGCGCATCAGAACTAAGATTACAATATTACAGTTGCCGCCAGCTATACATGCTATACATGAGCTATTCACTCGTGTGTGATATTTTTTAAACGTCAAAGAAATGATAATGATATTAATTAGACGATTTTTTGGTTTTGGTTTTTCAGCGTTCAATTCTTACACGTGGAACGATACCGCCCATACAAAACGTGAAGCGGACGATGTGTTGACTGTCACATACGAAGACGGCAAATGGAGTAAACCCTATTACGATTGTGGCGGTGGCAATATATGGATGTTGACCTATACAGTTCCGTTTTTCGGTTATCGAGACGGGAAATACTTTTTTAAGTGAGTTCTCACTATCTAAAAACCATCCCAGACATGTTTGGAACTAATTTGAATTATTTACAAAAAAGTTATAAAGCACAATAATTTTAAGTTGTAAAATAAGTTGTTTTTTTGGTGGTGGGGGGGGGTTTTGTGTTGATTTTGAAGGGTAAAAGGTCTTTTGTTTAAATTGCTTGACTATAATATATAGAGTACCATTTAGATACGAATTCTGATCAACGGCTTATGGAAATATCGTTGGTCCAGACATAAAAAAAAAAATAATAAAAACGCATCATTGGAACAACAACACCTCATCAGCTAAGCTACAAAAAGGTTATCATATTTGATAATAATCATATATTGTAATTTTCTATTTAAATACCAATGGTCCAAGTTTGATTAGAATTCGAGTAAAACCGACAGCTGCATTGATTATTACTTCTTTAGAGTTTGAACTCCAATTAGTATTTAGGATGAGCCAAAAAGTTTCGGGTAAATTACATTAGGGACCGCCGACTACTATAAGCCGTTCCTAAAAAGTTATGATTACAAAATTCGGTAACGTCTAAAATGTCCTCCGAGTGTCTGAATCATTTAGTATTTCGGTTTTTTTAATAATCACCATATTATAAAACCCTGTTTGTAAGTATTTTTAAAAGTAAGCTTTTCAAACCATAATTATTTGTAATTAAAAACAAAATAATAATAATTTTCTCACAAACATAAATGTCACATGCATAAAATGGATCACGTCAGAGCAAACAAACTCGGGCTTAATTTTAAATCTGACAATCGATTAATCATATTTTTGAACAGCATTGCAATAATTACGGAAACGGCATTTATAAAATGTCGATAAAAATAATATTGTACGAGTCAAATGCAATACATTTTTTTTTAACGTGCTAAACCTCCAAAATATGAAATGGGTCTATCGTAAGTCCTTGATTTTCTTTTTATTCGATATAGTCGAGAACTTTCGTCAGAATGTATTTTAGATCTAAACAAAAACAATGACCTCGAAGGAATAAATAGCTTACATTTTTTTTTTTTTTTTTTAGCAGAAAACCCAACTACTATAAATGCGGAAATGTTGCTAAGAGCGTTTTATCGAGACAAGAGATATAAATTTAAATTTAAATGTAACTACGGTCTGATCGGAAAATCGTATAAAAATATATCTTGTTTTTTAAATAAAAAAATACGTCCGTCGGTAAATGTAATAGGCATTACGGCCATTGATTTGCAAAATCCCTGAAATAGAATTTAAAATAGATAGCACGTTGTCTCGTTGATGTAATTAAACGTTTTAAATGTTGAACGATTTTCTTTTTTAAAACAAATTTTAATGTTTTTGAAATATACTATATACGAGCAGATTAGGACAAAACATCTTAAAAAAATCATCAACTTAAACGGCGACACTTTAAAATTACAAATAACATTAGTCGAACAAAAGTCGATTCGTATGAATTGCCAATAATATTATTTCAATAAACTAACAGCCCAAATTATCCAAATGAATCATATCAACTCATGAAATCCACCCCTGTATTTTACAACCTCTTGGCTTGATTTTATTGAACTTTTTTGACAATAATATAATAATATAATATTGAAAACTTCTATTGGTACAGTTAGCTGTTTTTTATTTTTTTATTATATTGTGTGACCAAATAAAAAATAATAATATTAAAATAAAAAAAACAGTATAATCCACTGATACGTACAAAAGGTATACAACTTTTACTATCGATTTAAATAGGGAAGCGCCAAGCTTTAAGAAAATAAAAAATAAAATACAATGAAGAAAGTTAGGACGTTTGCTTTGAAGATCCGATCAACGAACGAGACACGGGCAACAAGTTAATGTTTAAGAAAATGTTAAAACAAATTAATATTTTGTGCTATAGATACAGAATATAAAATTATGTTACATAAATAATTGCAGCTGTGCGAGGCTGGAGTTGATTAATAAAACCACTAAATACAATAAAATATAAGCAATACAGTTATCGTTAGTTATAGGTATCGTTAGTAATGAATCCAAAGGCAATCCGAGCGAGCCCGAGTAGTTCAATTATTCTTATAATTATCAACCATTCAAAGTAATTAATTTCGGTATTCATTTCTTTAATTATTATTTACACGACGGATAAAACTTATAATTAATCATCAAATAATTGTTTAAAGTTAATGAAACGTCACTTGTTAACCGCTAGCCGATTTTATCGTTTTTCGTTTATCATTAATCAAAATAAATTGGAACCGATTCTTGTGTTGTACAACGCACGAGTTATGCTTTGAGCTTACAATACACTGCTCGAACTTCATTCATTGGTACATACATAATATGTTTCTTAATAAGTTTTTTCCTCTGATATTTTTCAATTCGAATTTCGAAATGTATAGCTGGAAATAATAATTGCATTGTCAGCTTTGTATAAAAACCGTATTGATCAACGTTTATTAAATTTCCAACTAAATAATTTTCATTTAATTGACAACCGAAAGACAAAACCGTTCAAAAATGTTCAAGAAGGTACTGTTTTCTCACTGTTGTGTTCTTATTTAATTACTACGCGCTATAAGTATAAAAACAGTCGAATTAGGTCCAACATTTTTTTGGAATATTTTTATAGACATGGTATTATCTGTAAACATTGACAACCAAAATAAATACCAGAAACCCTTTTAATGTAGTTATGTGACTTTCCTTGTAAGCCTACTATTATGCCTCGATCCAACTTTACAAGTTTTTATATTTATTGTATCATTCAAATTATTATTTCTGATCTTAAAATTTTTTTTTTCCAATAATTGTATTATATTTTCTTCGGATAAAATAACAATTTATTTAATTTATTTTTACTTAAAGTTTCCCCTCTTAGAAAACATATGACCATAACATTGTACAAAAACGTTTATTGGATTTTTTTTTTTATTAAAACTGTCATTCTCGGACAATCATATTTTTTAATGGTTTTACCCTTTTGCTCCCGGAGTTTGTTAGGCAAATTGGCCATGTTAGTTTTTGTTGTCCTTCCGAGAATTTTTTTTTACTCATAAAAATACAATTTACAATTAATAATATATACACTTATTTATTTTAGTTATTAAAATAATATTCATTTTCATTGGATATTTTACTAAATCCGAACTGGTTTCTGATTATCTCTAGCACGTCTAGTTGTTTTTAATTTAAATCGTCTCCTATAAATAATCAACCCCGGCTTATGTTAATTTTAGCGTATGCTTCACGATGAAGTATTTGTTTTTAATTTATTTCAAAGTTAAAATAAAGTTGCTTGTCCTATTTACTTTTCTGAATACAGAACTGGTCTCAGAGTGTGTGTAAAACTCTACATTATTTCAGCAAAGACAATGGAATACAAAAGTCATTACAATACAGTGGGGTCCGGGCATAGTGTAAAAAAAGTCTAATACCATAATTTATGTACCATTATAAAGTATAATAAGTTTATGATTGGTCCACAGTTAACCAATCACCCCCGGTATACTTGTTTGTTGTTTTTCTCGATTTTGAAGGATGTTTTTTTACATTTTCGGCCCATTTAAGTACATTTCGGGTAGTCATTACTGATCGATTGAGTTACACGATAAAACTGGCGAAGTGGTTTAGAAGAGATATCATGGGTCCATGTACAAAAAACACAAATAAATAAATAATAGAAAAAACACATTCCGAACGACGCGGCTTACAAATCGTCGGCTTTTAACGTTGCCGATTTGTTTTCATTTTTTATTCTTTAAATTATATGACCGGAGCTAAACGTTGAATTTTTCAAGAACCTCGCGAGAAAAATATATATTTTCTTAAAAAAAAAAAGACGGATGTACGACAACAGCGGGTGAGACGTTAAAAAAAATGTGTGTGTGAACAAACTCGACACCGCGGTTTGTCTGACATTATCTCAACTTGTTACTCTGACTTTTTACTAGTAGTTTTCTAAATCGATCGCACTTAATCTTTCCGCTTTATATCCGTTCTCGGATGATATTTTCTTAAGACTTTTTTTTCTTCTTCTTATATTTGCACATGGTATAATCCATTATCGCCGCCGCCGCCGCCGCCGCCGCCTGTATATCTATCATCGATTTCCATTAATCATTTCCGTGGAAATAAAAACCGTCGCGTTTCCAAACGTCAAGAGTCTCCGTTGTGTGTAAAAATGGCGATAAATCTACCCAATGGAAACTGGACACCTGTTATTAATATATGAAGGATTCCTTTAGCCGTCACGCCTTTTATTGTGCGCAGTTGTGAGAGACAAAGCGTTATTTGTTGATAATGTTAACCACGTGAAATGCGTTTCCGTTAAAGGTCACCGGCCACGGTAATGATAATTGTCGTATCGATCATCGCTATTAACTAAACGCAAAACTGGTGCTTATGGAGACCGGTAATCCAAATAAAAGTATCACGTGACGGTACTAAAAAGAATGTCCAGAACAAAAGACATGTTTTCCAATGCCCTAATCTTAAAATAAATGCATGTCTGTTTTTAAGGAGTTTTGTACAGGCAATATTTAAGAAAAAAAAAGTGGTTTTAATAAAATTCGACCATGTTAGGCTTAAAGGTATTATTTTTAATTTAATTAATTTTTTCTGTAAGTAAGTGAATTTTTTTGGTTTATTTTAGACCAAAAACCATGTAAATATAAAAAAAAAAACAAAAACACTCTTTTCAAACTTCAACCAATTTATAATAAATACTTTTTTTATAGGTCGCAGTCAACACTGCATATTATAATCCTGATCAATATTCGACTACATAATAACTTTGCGGTGTGTTACAGGGGCACCAGTGGAATCGACATTGATCTCAGGCGAGTGGACATCGATCAATGTCCCTTGCCTCTGGGCAGCAATCATTTTAACATTTTCGCCTCGTCGGACAAATGCAAAAAACAAACCACATACGTAAGCACTGGCACAAAGTTTTCAATTTTAACGTTAACCGTCTTGAAACTGGGAGTAGACAAAAAAAAATAGTTTCTCGAAAATTCTGTTAAATATTCAGCTGATAACAGATGTGATAAGAATGGATAATAATCAGATGATACAGTAATGTACCATATATTTTCTAAAATCGACTCAGAGCTGGAACTTAAAAAAAAGAAATGTTTTAATACCTAATTAATATTAGAATCAAAAGTACTTAAAGTTTTAAAAAATATTCGTTTTAAGACCATTTATTAAGATACGTTCCGAAGAGTGATTTCTGAAAATTGAGTAATTGTTTTTTAACTACATTTTTTGAACCCTTGGTCGGAAATGGGTTAAGGAAATGCAATTCCAGAGTAAAATTGGAATGATTTTGATCAGGACAATGTCAGTGAAGGATATTCGTAGAAGTAATTGGAGAAAGCCAAGAGAGCTCTTGACGTCATTGTGGTAATGATTGCAGTAGGGAGAGTTATCAGTATATTATTGTGTAAAAAGCGTGGGAGTCGTCGTACGTGCCCGATTTGATTTTTAAAAAAAAACCATTTGCAAACGATGAAATAAGAGATGGCAAAACCAGAAATATATATATATAATTTAAAATATAGAACAGAAAGTAATTTTCAAATTATACTTTAAAAAACATTGTTTTATAATACATTTTACAAATACTTCAACAATGTTAAAATTTGTTTTCCTTTTAAACACTTTTTATTATCATTTTAAATGAAATGATGCAGTACTGCGTTGTGGTAGAAATTCAATTATAACAACTTAAGAGAAAAGGGTTGGTTGTTGATGTCGGTATTAATACGCTTGCTATTCTCAAATTACCTCGTATTGTGGTTTGTCTTTCTTAGGCTTTAAGACGGTAGTGTCTAAGTCACACGTTTACTGTTTAGTCGAGTATGATGTTGCTGCTTTAGTTAAATGTATGAGTATACCTTTGCAAATATACCTTAAAAAATGAAATAAATAATAATAAAAGCATATAGTGTAAAAAAAAACTACTTTCTCAGCTCCGCATCAATTTTCAAGAATATTATCACTTGTTGTATACGCTATAGTTTTTAACGTAAACATGTTTTTGGCTTTGGGGTCTGTAAAAATTGTATAAACGATTTTGTGATAAAAAAAAAGGAAGGAGAGAGGGAGGGAATAGTGACAAGTGAGACTGAGATAAGGATTGTATGGTGATAACTGATAAACGAATATCAGAATAGATATCGAATAAAACAACTCCTTTATCACTAATAGCTTATCAGTAGACTCTTATCATTACTATCTTATCAGTTTATACTTATCAGTCGTCACACAATTTATCAAATGACACCAAGCTTAAAATCACTATCATGTTAAAAAAAAAACATTTATTTCCATATTTCTATATAAGCTAAAAAAGTATCATAATAAGATACAAAATCTATCCAGTTTTCGGTAAAACTCAAAATGGTTTTAATTGAGTTTAATATATATATGAACATATTATTTTTTCCATATTTTACCAACTTGTTACAAAGTTATAAAGTAACTAAGTATATTAGAAAAGTTATTTATATCGAGCCCCAAAGTACTTTAAACGGCAAACTATAGAATATTTTCGAACATCGTTTTTAAGGGTTTAATCGATAAAACGCTTCAATCACGTCAACGCCTTCGTCGTTGGAAGTAATTTCAGCGAATAATATTGTGCATTATAATGATAAAATATAAATATATATATACTTAGGGGAGTGTGGACTAGGTATAAAAAAAAGAAATCTATCTCTGGCGAGTATACGGTAGGCAGTATTAAATGATTACGATCATCGTTTAGCCGGAATGAAAGAGCTTTTTAAATTGTCAACGTTAAGTTTTGACATGGAGTTGAAAAAAAAAACACAATAAAAGTGATTTATTCCACTAAAAAAGTATAAAATGGTCCAAACTGTGAAATAATTATTAGTTGGAGAAGTCACTGTCGAATCGTATCTCGAAATGAAGTATCTGTTAAATCCTATTGTTAGTTTCTTTTATCGTTTTAGACACTTTTGAAAGTGTAAAAAATGTATAAAAAATAATAAATTATTCTTCAATAATAACGTTATCCGTAAATATTATAACAAATGTATTATCCTGTTTATTTTTTGGCATAACTCTGTCTTTAAATATCAATACCGCTTGCTAAAACTTTCACTCTAATCAATTATCAGAAAACAGGGTTTGTAACAAATATCACAATATCTATATAATTAAATAGGATTTTCCTCGCCGAATCTCAGATTTTATGCGGCAAGACTATTTTTATTTAATGTATTTGTAAAGAAGGGATCTGGTTTACAAAGCCAAACTTACTAAGTATAATTAATAGCTTTTGTTCAAACTACAATAATTGTAATAATTCTTATTGAGTTCATTAACTTAATTAAGTAAAGACGCGAAGGGCAAAACCTGTGTTTCATAAAATTTACCTTAGCAAATGAAATGTCAACTCTATCTAGTTTGATATCAATAGTCTTTTATTCTATGTTTTTAGCTTAATGATTTTCCCTAAAAAAAAAAAAACACAACTAATCAAAAACAATATCGCAATAATTGGTAAATCCATAATTTTCTTTTAAATAAGCAACTTTTGTGTGTTGTTTAATTGTGTAGTACATAAAAAACGTGTAATCAAAAGCTTTCAATTACAACCAACAATTTCCAAATGTTAAATAAAAAAAATACATCACAACGTAAACAGGTCAGGTTGTTTAGGTTTATTTCAGAAAATGTTTTTATTTACTCTTTTAATATTTTGCTGTGCACGAGTTTAGTAATAAAACAATTTTGAATATATATTTTTAAAAATAAGCGAAATAAATAAGCATTTTATCGATCTGCTCGTAGTTTTGTAAATGTTGTATTTATATAAACCTCAGATCTATGTTCTTGGTAAGGCCCAGTGTATATTTTATTTTTGCCGAAAATTGTGTTTGGTCTTTTTAGACACATAAAGTACAGAATTTATATATATATATTATTTAATGTGGCATATATGTTATATTAAAATGGTTTAGGAGAATTGACAGAAGGTATACGGTATGCAAAACGGTCAAAAGAGATTGGAATTGTAGACTTTAGGGGTAAAGGTAAATAAAGTATAAGACATGTAAAAAAAATATATACATTAAAGTGTACCCTTCGTCAAAAAAATGACACACTTTATTCAACAACAAAGTATGTCATTTTTGTGTTTAATATATTCCACAAGTTATTTTTTTTTGCTCATAATATTATGTTTAAATAAAAGTAAACCAAAAAAAAATGTGAAATTTGTATACATGGAATTTGTTAATCACGTTTGAAACGCTGTTTTAATTTTTATCGGTATTTTTTATTCGAGAAACCGACGCAAAGACGTGATAAAATTATTTTTAAGGTAAATACAAACAAAATTGATTTAATTTAAATTATAAACTTTGATGTTTCATTTCTGAAAATCAGAGTTTGTTTGGATCGTAAATGCTTATATTTTTACCTTGGAATTTAGTTTACACTCTAATTATTACCGTGTATGAATATTCTCTTTAATTGAATTTAATTTTAATTGACTTTATGTCGTTAACTTGCCCAAACGTAGCATATGAAATGTTATTATAAGTGTTATATATATATATAAATAAAAAAACTTTCTATAATTCTATTTTAAGCAACAATTAATGGTTTGACTTGTTTGCAGTGTGTAGCCGTGTCTGGACTGGGATTTCGCAGAGGAAGTTACAAATGCGTGTGTCGTCGTGGTTATTACTTTCCTGCGCCTAAGTACGCCGGGAGTGCCGGAAACAGATTTTTCAATGGAGTCATTATTGAAGAAGAATACGAAAAACTAATGTTGGTAAGTACAATTTTTGAACACCAAGCCTGTACCTCATAATACAGTGATCTTAATATTTTATCGGACGAGGAAAAAATATTTAAAAAAATAAATTAAAATCATCATTGCAAAAACCATAACTTCTTAGTTCCACATCACACATGAATTGAACGTGTCTATTTATTATTAGATTTGTTTAAAAGAAAATATTAGAGTATGTATATAAATGATATAAAATCAAAAACAAACTTCAAGCGGGAATGTAGGATTACTTTTAATTACAAATAATAATATTTTGTGATCATTGATTTTCTGAAGGGTTAATGAGTTTTTACAATAAGAAAATAGAATTGCGCTATAGTAGTGTTTACCATGCATAAATAAATTAGCTGATGAATGGAAACACAAAGCAAGACCTTGATCCAAAATACATAATGCATTTCAGTCGTTTGGCAAACAAAAAAAAATAGTAGAATACATATAGAATATATATATATATATATTTTATACAGATTTTTTAATCTTCTACAGTGCAATTTAACTGGGGTAGATATACTTATTATGTGCTCGGGATTGGGTTTTTATCCAATTAGGGCAAACAATTTACTTTTTAATTATATTGTGACTTTTGTTGTCAACACTTGCTTGGCACGATAATATTATAAAATATCATTTATACATTTTCTATTCCTGAGGTCCCATTTTTTTTTTTTTTTTTTTTATAAATTAATATTACTAGTATAGTTGAATAGTTTTCGGAGTTTCAATTATTTTGATCTTTGCATTCACAAATTGTTTAAACTATCAAATTTGCAAAACTGTAAACTTTACTCTTCCAATACCTTCTCAGCTCTGTATCGAACCTAAAAATAAATTATTTTTAAACCAGTTACACAAGAAAAAGGTTTCAAAAATATATTTCTTTTAGTTGTTAGTCAACTTTTTGGCTAAGTCGATTATAAGATATTATTGGTAGTTTTCGGCCATCTTTTTTTAAAATTATATCATGTTATTTATGTCTGATAATTTGTTTTCGTTCCTTGACAGGGTCAGCCAAATAATTACAGTCAGGGTAACATGTTCGAATGCATGCGATGTGCTGAAGGATGCGACGACTGCGTGGATGCAAGTCCTTGTATAGCATCTTTAAATTGGGTGCTTCGTTCAATCATACTGGCACTCTCATTAATCGTCATCTGTTGCCTTCCACTGGTGGTGTTCTTCACGTGGAAATACGGAGACCTCAAGGTAACACTACCTTAAGTATAAATACTAATAACAATAATTACTTAGGCATAAATTTATGAGCTTTCCGATAGGTCTGATAATAAACCAGATATTGTTACCATCGATATTGTTTAACTGTCATTTACTGATAATTTACCATGTAATTATGAGAATTAAACTTGATTGCTCACGACATTTTCTATCTCTTACAACAACTTTCACTTTTTCATAATTGTTTCTCTGATATTTCCAATAGAATTTTCGATAATGCGTCACCCTAAGCATATAAGCCTGTTGCCGTTGTGTGCCATCTTATGTCATTTAATACAGATGAACATGTGTCAGATATCTTATTAAGTATCATTGGTAACAAAGTTTCGTACAATAGTAATCATAACATTTTGATTAATTATTTTCTTGGTATAAACCAAAAAGTCGTACTACAAGTTTGACAGAGATTCTCTACGAGACAAGTCGCAAAGTCAACAAAACATTAATAGTCAACACCACACTTGTTGAACTTGTTAATAATAATACAAAATTGATGATGTGTCATAGAAAAACTTAAATGGTCCATTTTCAAATTTCAAAAATTTGTAGTCGCTTTTATTTTGATTCTGGAGTTTAAATTTCATTGTCCAACAACCGTGCGTCATTGAAAATATATCTGGCGGCAAAAGCAAATAATAATTTAATTCTGCTGTTTGCCTGTGAAAACATATACTCTCTTAAGCCGCCCATTACAAAGGTATTTTTCACCTGACCCCTAAAAACTAACTTTCAACGATAATTTAAAACAATAATTCAAAATACAAAAAAAAAAAAAATAGAATAACGTTCAACGGTACAGCTATGAGTTTATTTAAATCTTTATTACCCAAAGTAATGGCTTAGTTGAAAATACTGTGTGATATATTATGATTTATGTATCGAGTGTATTATTCGTACAATGAAGCGAGGAAAGTAATTTTGAAATTTCCATCATCAAAACTAGCGGTTCGACTAACATAATAAAACTATTTAATATGTTAACAACGGTTGCCTTGGGTTGCTGTACGCTTTGGAATAATAGAACAACCCGACAAATTATTATTAATTATCTTATTAATATTAGTCTTACACGAATTATTCCGTTTTCTGATTAGGTAATAACATTTTCGCAACACTGTACGGAATGTGTGGAATTCAGATTGATAATATTTTCAAATGCTCGTTGTTCGGCCCACACTTAACAACCTAGAAATTTACAACGGGCAAAGTGTAGATTTACCCTTTTTTTTAGCCTAGCTGTAATAGCGCAAAACATTTTGACAAACGGTTTTAGACACATCGTTGTAATTTTGTATTTGTTAAAAAGCTGTTACAACTAAAAATTGTGATGACAGTGTGAATTTAGCAATTATTAAACAGGAGTGCATTCAATTATGTTTGAATACATAAACAAAACAAACAGTATGAGAGCCAAAACTGTGCAATATTACGTTATATGCATAAATTTAATACAATTTGTATATTTTAAATTTACAAACTTTTAAAAAAACATTAGATAAAATATGAACTAGTATTGTTGTATTTATTTCACATTGAATGTCCGATTATTTGTTTTAATTTATTCACCACGTGAGTCGATTGGAAAATCGTTTAATGAAAAAGACAATACTAAATAAATTGGCAAAATGACTAACACGCTATTTCTAGAATTAAATAAACAATCAGATTAAAAATCAAATTTCAATTTCAATGTTTAATCAGAACATCAAAACAAACTTGGTCAAGAACTAAATATTATTAAACAAATATCAAATAGTAATTTATTTTCATGATAATAATTATTCAAAAACCATTTTTATTTAGTTCGTCAAATAATGTTTTATTGATATTCTTAAATAGGTACAATAAATTTTATTCTTTAAAAATTAAACCAATATTTTTCTTGAATAATTGTATTCATTTTAATGGTTATTTCTATTTTTATTTAAGAGTGCGCGTAAAAACATGTTCAGACTATAGATATATATAATCTTTTAAGTAGTTTTAGAGTAAAAACTCTTATTATCGAACTTAAAGAATATCTAGGGTTGTAAGTAGACAAATTTTACTAACTCTTAGGTTTTTAAAAGTATCTGAGAAGTAGGTTTCTGTTCATTGGCTATTAGAAAACCATTTGAGTTTACCAAGAAATTTACTAAAATATACCCCCAGAAATGTTAAATTTTATGAGTTTTATATTTTTTGTTTGAAAACCATCGCATGGACCAATAAAACAGATTCTGTGAACTATTTTTTTTGTTTGTAAAATATTTAAAATTGTTCTTTTGACCGTTTTGGTGGTAATCCGATAAGAAAAACGAGTAATCTATAAAGAACTCGCAATACTTTACATATGATAATAAAATTACACTTTTTTTTTTTTTGTTTAAACAAAAGGTCTTATTTTTTTATATTATTTAAACTAAAAAAAATACATCTATAAACTGTTTCTAATGATTTCAGTTTAGATTAATTATACTCTAAGTATAAACTAGTGTAGTTTATTATACAACATGCATTTTAATACAAAAACTTTTTAAACACTATCCGAATACTTAGTTCAAAAATTGCTTAAAAATTATTTTAAATACTAGAAAACTATTAAAATGTAAATCTGTTCAAGAGCGTGTAACCGCAAAATATGTAAATAGTGTAAATGTAATACCCCACTCAAGTTTCAATAATTTTTCAAAATAAGTTTGTCTATAGACTTTTGAGAAAAATGTTTATCGCTACGTCCAGTCTAATTTTCAGACCTTTAGCTGTAAAACTACATAAAAAAATGAATGAAAAGTTTTTGATATGCTATATTGGGTTAGGTCAACATTTTTTTATTGTACCGTGTCTTAAGAATATTTTACACGGATTCTGATTAAAAACTGATTTGACTCTTTTTGAAAGTGCGACATGTTCAAATTTTTCATTTTTTCCTGAGGGAACGTCAAATGGGTCACTCTGTTGTATACTTGCGTTGTAGCGAGGAAAAAAATATCAGTTAAAACCTTGAGAGATGAAAAATTCCAACACACACAGAATATGTCGCTAACGTATAGAGTCGTTAGGCGGCGCGCTATTTGGGTTTTCATTATCTAAGTGGAAGTTTTTGAAAACTGCTTTTTAATACGGTATTCCATTAGGTGATTCGCAACGTTAGATAATTGAACGTAGACAAAGTCAGGTTTCATTTTTTTTCTCGTACTTAAAACCGGAATGAAAACGAACGCACTTGCCCAAAATCCTAATAATAATAATTTTTATATTATAAATTATTTTTATTATCAATACTATTATGTTGTGTTACAGGTGGTTCGTGCGGCCAGTCCGGCGTTGCTCAGAGTAATTGCATTAGGAGCATTTTTCATTTATGCGACGGTAAGTCACACGATAACATATCTGTATAATAATGATTAACAAATATTTACCACTTTCAGTATTTCCCAAAGCGTTATTAACTTTCGCAATTAAATGGAAACGTGGCTATTGGTTAACTTTTTAAAGTTAAGAATGATTTGCCGAAAATATTGACTGGTTTGAGTTAAATTTTCACACTTACATTGTTTTGAATAATTTATTAGAGTAACTGAAGGAGTGAATGGATAAAATTGTTAACTGACTACTTTTAAATTGCCGAGGAGGCAATATTTTAGATAATGTGTTCAAACTGCTTTAATTTTTAAGCTCAACACAAATTGAATTGTTTTAATATTTTGCTAAATTATGTAACATTACATCCTTACATTTTCATTCATTTAAAACTATTTTACAACAAATGTCACTTTATCCACTCACCCCTTCAATGGCATTCTTTAAATATCAGATGTTCTCATTAATAGAAAATTCAAGATGTTTATTTTGCTCACGATTACTTTTTGGTTTTAATCAAAATGAAGAAGATATTAAAATGTATGCTTTAAAGCTTAAATAATAACTCGAAATTTCGAATTGTTGAAAAAAACTCTTCAAGAAGGGGACACAATTTTTTCGCCTTTGAAAAGTTAAGATTACATTTTCTAAATAAATGACTAAAAAAACTGTATAGGAAAATGATGGTTGACTAATCCAAAACTGTCAAAACCCGGCTCGGATTCGGCTTCGGCCATCCTAGCACAGAGTTCACAAACGAAAAATATACTTATAGTTGTAACAATCAAAACGGTACAAAATCAATTTGTATTAAAAATTTTACAGCAGAACAAAACGTAGAATATTGTACTACTCATCATATTAACATGGATGTGTTTTTAGGCTGAGATTAGTGTTATAGCGACACCGGATGGTTAGGTTAGGTAAGGTTAGTGAGAATAAAAGGGACGCATGAGAAGAGTGGTGGAAAAGAGAAGAACGGGGATGGGAGGGAAAATAAAGTAGAAGAGAGAGAAAGAAAAAATAATGACCATGAACATGAACACATATTTGAAGTGACTGGGTGGGGTTTATCTGTATATTACATTGTCTGCCTACCAGACATCATCATGGCCCAATGTTTTTCCTTTAAGTGAACTGACGAAGCTTTCTTATTAATAAATTACTATAATATAATTAGTTGACATTATAACTATATAGGAACGAGCAAAGGAACGATTTTCTTTTCGTTTATTATTTGTTTTTAAGGAACATCAACAATACTGAATTTTTACTTGAAATATTTACTTGTGCGCTGCAGTTTTAGTGTACTGCAATTACTTGGTTATTTTGTTAATCCGTTTTATGAATATTTATAAATTAGTTTAAGTTATTTTTTTTTTTTTGTTACAGATGATCGTTATGTATCCAAAACCAAATGTGATCACCTGCATTGCTCGATTTTGGCTCAGAGAAATAGGATTTTCGCTCACATACGGAGCTCTGATGTTAAAAACATGGAGGTGAGTAACCTAACCTTTTATCCAATATATGGATAATATATGGTACATGCATTATATGTTTTTCTCTTCCCCCCTTGACTTATTTCTTGGAACTGCTTTCCCTTAGGATTAACAGCTGCATTTTATCACCGATCTCTTATCACATATCCCTCAACAGTAATAAGCTTATCAGTGGTTTTTATCAGCAGCCATTGTCAGATGTCTCTTATTACTTATCTCTAATCTCTGATTCTCGTTATCTATTTACTTTCCCCTCTTCAGTTCCATCAATTCCTTTCCTTCCAGTCCTCTCGACAACCTCACCTACCTATCCTTCCTGTGTCGCGATTACGCTAATTCCAGATAGACCCTAAACTAAAAACATTGCTTTAATTTATAGTTTGAAATTACAGTTATTGTCATTTTTCATGCAAAAACATTAGTCTAATGCGATCTGTACTTACAGCTTTTGGTTAAACTGAAGTATTATCTTTTTAAATATTAAATTATTTTATAATACTTAAACAATATTTTTTTTATGAATTATACAAAATACACAAAGTCAAACTTTTAGAATCTATTTCTCAATTGTAAATGTCACCCTTCAAGTATTTCAGAAATTTCAACTACTTTCTCAAACGTTACAACAAAATATGAGAAAAACGTTGATGTTTCACTAAACTATTGCAGCTACTATAAGTCGGTGTACATAATAAGCATTTCCTTAAACAATGTGTTGCCGCCTTTTATGTATAAATGACACCAAAAAAACATCTCCGAGAGTGATGAAAATAATTTGAAATATGCTATTACTTCAGATTTAGGTGATATACTAAAAGTAAAGTTTTTTCTATTATTTAAAAAAAAGCCAAATCTAAAGAACTATAAACGGTTGGTCGATTATCATAATTGTCTCATAAAACCATATTTTACTTAGCATATTTCATAAATAAACGGTTAGCAAAATATCACCACCTTACAGACCGCCCCCCCCCCCCACTACGCCTCGACCCCGTCGTGCTGGCTTTATTATTAGCATTTTTTTTTTTTTTTTTTTTAGAATATCCGTTATATTCAGGGTAAAGTCAGCCAAAGTCGTAAAAATCACCGACAAGGATCTGCTGAAGAGATTGGGACTAATGATGGTCGTCGTCGGACTCATCATGTTAATCCGAACTCTGGTCGATCCTCCCTACGTTATAGTCGGGAGGACATCCGACAATTTGAAAACTGATCTATGCCCCGCAGGATGGTGGGATAGATTCTTTTCGATATGTGAGTATTGGATTTCGTTTAGCTGTTTTATGCATTGTTGCTTACTTTAGGTCAAACGCAATGCCCGGCAACATAACCATTCGAAAAGTACCTATGTCAATACTTCAACAAAACGTTACTCGCTGCCTTTACTATTTTTTTTTTTTTTTTTTTTGGTAAATCGTGTGTTTGAGATATAATATCACATAGAAAGTTATTATATTGTATAAGTATAAGTTATTATATATTATTATACCCCTAACAATACATGATCGTGTTACAATTGAAATGTTCGCTTCGTTAAACATACCTATGCTATCAAATGTTATTACATTTTTATGTTCCCTTAAAACGGTTGACAAACACACCGTCGCATTCAAAAGGAAGTGTATTTTTTTTTTTATAAACTTTATAGTTGAAAGGTAAAAATATGTTTTTACTTAAAAATGTCCGACAGATATGTTGTGTGAAAAAATATTGTTTCGATTGCAACAAATTAAAATTTAAAACAAGATTGTGAGTACATAAAAACGTTATAAAAATGAAAATAAAATGTAAATCCGGTCAGCTCCGTCTTTAGACATTTTTAATAAAAATGTTAATAGATACAATTTTTAAATTACCAAAGTAAAATGAAACATAATTAACGGTATTTGATTATTCACAATAGTAAATAGGTAGTTATTATAGTAATTTTTTACATTTTCATAGATGATTATTTTTATTTTTAGTCATTCAACAAACCAATTATTTTGTATGTATTGATTTACATAAAATTGCACTTGAGGATAATAAAAAAAAACCCCGTCTCTCATTCATCGATTAGTATTACATCACTCGCCAAATTATCTAGTAGTCATTACTTTGTTAACAATCACATGCAATCACGTACATATACTCATCTACTTATCTAATAAAAAATATTTATTTTCCAGTGGAAGTATTGTTCCTGGTTTGGGGCATTCGTTTGTGCATCGTAGTTCGGAGAGCCCCGTCGGAATTCAACGAAAGCCGGTTCATGTCGATGGCCATATACAACGAATTCATTTTATCAGTCTTCCTAAACGTATCAATGTAATAAGACGAAAAGTTTGAACAATAATATTATAAGTATAACAATATGTATTAATCTTATATAATTTAATCCGGCGTGACGACGCATTAAACTCCAACGTTAATGAACTCCGAGTACGTGCCAACAGTGTCTAATTATAATCTAAACAAAATCACATTTGGATCAACATCGACTAATCTCATTTCCTGAGTGTATGGAAAATTATCTTTAGGTATTAAAAACGAGCCCGTTTTCCTCCTATACCGCCTGAGAAACGCGAGAGCCTTTGCGCTTGTAAACTAGCCATTTATAGATTATTTTTTCGCCGGTGTATCGCTTCCACGTGTTCAGTGTGCTCATCACCGTGTTCGGTCGATGCATTGTTGTTTGTAATACTATGTATTATTATACAATAATAGGTTTTGACGACGGCGTATAATAACCGAGTGCGCTCGCCCGAATGGAAACGCCATTACCGTTTCTATCGGACAATGTAACCTCTCGTTTACTTCAAAGCGTGTTTAGCAGGCCAAACGATCCGTACTTTGTGCCGGAAAATTCGGTATGCGTCCCGAATATTATATTTTCCCAAAAAGGGTATTAGTCGTTCTTGCCCACAGGAATGATACCCAAACGAGTCGGGCCCGGATTGGCCTGACAGTTCATTGGCGTTTCGGTCCATATTGTTATTCAGGAATAGTAAATTTAAAAAAAAAAAAACGGACAACCGCTGGTTTCCTTTAGATAAAAAGTGTATCATTTGTTTTTCCAACAGAGTACTACCAACAAATTTCTTAGTCTCTTTGGCTTAATGTCACGAGGAAGTAGGGCTCCGCACAAGTCATATGTACATTAAATCATATTTAATGTATACCTTTATCTTTGCCGTTTAGGTTTTTCCTGCAATCGCCTGCCAATCCGGACCTGCAGTATATAATTTTCTTCTGTCATACACAATTGACGGTGACCACCCTGCTCGGGTTCATATTCGCCAGCAAAGTATATACTTTTGACGCAATGTTGCTGTTATGATTTGAACGGGTTTTTTTTCGGTTTTTTAGGCGTACTTGGTGATCAGAGGAGAAGAATTTAACGACGAGGACGGACAGTTGAAGGGTGTCAAAGTGACCGGTTGCAACAGGATTCTGAGCAAGCAGACCAAGAACTCGAACAAAGCCAACAATTCGACGTACGGCTGTGTCGAAGAATCCAGTACTGATTTTATATTAACCGAAAACGACGTGCAAGTGAGTAATTTTCCGAATTTCCATAATACATAATTCGATTAGTCTGTCACGCATCTGTGAATATTTGAATATCTAAATTTTTATCATTGATTGTGCTGCGAAAAAATAAAAACCATAACGAACGAAAATTATTCATATTTTCATAAAAAAAAGTTAAAAAATACTTGCCAAAATAGTGCTGGTAGGAAAAAAAAAATATTTACAGGACTAAATCTTACTCCTCTGTCTTTCTGTCCCTTTCCTCCCTCGTCAAAATGTAAAACACATTACATTATTATCGATTGACTATACAAAATGAAGCCACGATTTTTATATTTCTTTTTTTTTTTAAATCTTAAAATCACTATCTTACATTGATAAATGTTGGAAAAAATTACCCACGTACTCGTGAGAAAAGTCTGGCTAAAAAACAATATTATGACTATATTTTAGAACGAAAAACACTTATGTTTAAAATGAATAAAAAAACTAATAATCTTTTAGAAATAGCTGCTACTTTACTGTTGTAATACAACTTTTCAAACCTAAACGGATCTTTCTAATGCTCAGAGTGTAAATTTAAGCACATTTTGGCTTTTACAATGTTTTTTTATGGATTTTTTTTAATTTTTTCCATCTACAGATTCGCATCGAAGCATTGATTTGAAAGTGATTTCTTCGTTCTCACTTTTATTCATTCCTGTAGACTTGTGACCTCTGCCATCCCGTTATGTTCTGTCCCCAATATTCCCCAACCCTATTACAATGCCTTTTTTGTTTTACATAGATATTTTCCCCTATCGTTATAATATTTTTCTATCGGTGTTGCTTTTGTTGGGTTCCAGGACGAGTTTGCTCAAATTTTCAAACAATTGGAAGCGCTCAAGGACAAAAACATTCGAATGGGAAACCAACATTTGGTCAACAAGATAGTGGCCATGCAAGAGGTGAGCAGACACAGTGTTTGGTCGACAAACGTGGAAAAAAAGGCGGAACATTGTACGTTTACCGGCAACCACATCAGCAACCATCCGCTGAACGTTAGTAGCCAACGGTCGCTGCAGGTCATTAATCAAAACGGCAAAAAACCGTTTATGAAAGAAGTGACGGTGTGAAATTGGCCAGACCGAAATTTTCAAACGTGATCAACCGGTAGATAGTTTAGATAGGTATATTATTTTGAAATAAGTTCAACATACGTCTCTAGATAGGTATTCGTTATAAAATTATAATTCATAAAAAATTACACAATTTTCTTTTAACAATATGTCAACTTAAACATAAGTAACGTTCCCCAAAATGTGTTTTGTCGAAATTGTGCGATTTTCGAAAGAAAGGAAATAATTTATGTTTAAGTACAACGGTACTCGTATATTTAAATAGATGAACCTTGGGAAAAAATGTTTGAAGTGAAAGAAAAATTCAAAGAAATAAAAGAGGGGTCCTGCTTAGGAGAAATCGGTTATATTACTTTAACACCTTCCAAATATTTATTCGAATAATTTTGTTTGTGATTTGTATAAATAAAAATATTTTCGAATAAACTAAAAAATCAATTTTTTGAACACTTTTGTAAGTGGTTTTTTCGAATATGAAGTTGTATAATTTTCAGTTGAAAATCAGTTTTTCCTCGAATAACGGCCAACCTTGATTCCAATTACTTGTCCTGTAAGGCTTATTTTTCCTGCAATGCAATGAGTGCCAACTTATAAAATAAATTTTCTACTCGAATATTTTTGAATAATATTATTTGTTATTATATCGCTAAATATCACTGTACACTAATTGTAATTTGTTTTAATATCATTAAGTATCGTTTTATTGTTTTTTTCTTAATATATTTTTTTTATCAATCAAACTGTACAATATGATTTTGAAACAAGAACCAAAATACATCAGTACATTTATTTATCGCTGAATTAAAACCGGGTCGCTAATTTTCAAGAAAAATGGAGACAATTTTTTTAGTTGCATCAAAAGTTGTAAATGACTTGTAGAACAAAAATTAAGATTTCCCAATATTATTTTGAGTAAAATAAAAATTACAAATTCTAAAACCAATATTCTAAACTATTCAGTAAACAATATTATAGTAAAAAGCTCTATTTGGTACATTATTAAGGTGCAAATTAATTAAACGTTAAAAACACCAAAAATCTATTTTGAAAAGTTATTTTACAACTTAAAACGTTAAAAAACGAAATGGCGTGCTAGGAAAAATGTCAAAATCAGATTAAGCGAAAAAGTGATGTTTTTTGGTTCTTGTTTGTCATATATTTATATATTGTGTTTAATCCGGTCAGTTTGTTATTCCATACACTTTACTCGTCAATTCGATTGATATTATTAACAAGCCTTAAAATAGGCTTGTTATATTAAATATATTAAAATATATAATATAACATTGTGTGAAATTACTATTATTGTTAATATCGACATAATATCCGAATTATCTTGAAAGTAATAATTATTATTGTATACTATTAAATATACCTAACCGAATAGAGACATTTTACCATATAATGTGACATTTGGCTTAAAATATAATAATGTTTCACTTGACAAATGCAATTTAATTCGCATTAACAAGCCATATTAAAAATGCAGGTGTGGTTAATTAAATTATGTGTTATAAAAAATTGTAACTAATGTGCTGCTCACCTATAATTTTTTTTCTCTCATTGTTTGCCTTGCATTTTACAGTAATTTTGTATTAAAATTTGTTATTTAATTTTTAACGAACGGCTATTGACGTCTCGACAACGTATTTCAATTAAATTAGTTATTATTAAAATTATATTTATATTTTTCATCATGTTTTCCTTCTAAGTGTTATGAATAATTAACATGTAGTTAATAAAATTATATAATTGCAAATTTGTCTGTTGTATACAAATAAAACATGCTGTACAATAAATAATTAAAAATTAAAACACTTTTATCGTTTATTCAATCAATGTTGGGTGAAATAAAATTTGCATATCGCTCTTTTTTTTTAAAGTAATTTAAAACTAATGTTTAAAGTAATTAATTGCCGTTAATACAATTATTGAGTCAAAGTCAGCAAGTCCAATTATATACTATACCATTAGTATATTGTCTGTGATAGCTGTTGTAAATTGGTTTATGTTTACTGTGAATTTGAACACTAAAAAAAATTTTAGGTTTTCTTATCCAAAAAAAAACCAAAATACTTTAAATTATGATATTAAGTTTAAATAACGAGTTGAGATTTTCAAGTCTTTTACTGTAAAACAAAAAAATTCTTAAAACCAATAAAAAACACATTTTTCATTTGTTGAAATATTAATTTAAAATATAAGTTATGTTAAATGTTTTTTTCTAAAAAAATGTTGATATTCATTAATTAACAACATTTCAACATTTTATGTGCACAACGATTTTGCCCAACTTTGATTGTAATTTCGAAAACGGAACTACATTAAAAATAAGAAAAATAATAAAGTTAATTAAACATACTCATTTAATAACTGATTAACTACTTTTAATCCAAAATGTGTTTTCTAAAAGTTATTTTTTTTTTTTTGATAGCTTGCCATTACAAAAATGTCAACTGTTTTAAAAATAATTTACAACTAAAGTATTACATTCGTTTTACAATAACATATAATATGTTTGTTTTTATTCTCTATAATTTTGTGTCTAAACTGAGACTTAACCTAACTGTATGTCATATGGTTTTAACTATCGAAACAGATTGTCTGTCTGCCCTACCTAATACCTAAAACCATTTCTTATTTATTGGTTTTTTTAAGCAAATTCTCAATTTTATTTTTATTTTTTAATAGAAATTACCAGATTTTAAAGTTTGTCCGTACTTGTTGTGATATTGTTTTATTCGAAAAATTGTTTCAATTAAACATAATTCGTTGTTGTCGAGTGATTCGTTGTATACCTGTACATATATATAATATATTATTTATGTAAATACATATTATATATTATAGTATATTAAATATATGAGATATATCGGTGTTGTATGTTAACGTTTATAAAACCGTTGTAATTATTATGCGATTATGTATGTACAAAAAGTATAGTGTGTAAAGCAGTGTACATGTATTATATATAAATATCTAAATAAATAATATACGTTTATAAATATTACACAAATTGTATTTTTTTTTTACATAATAGTATAAATAGTCGAACCCACACAAAGCCGTGTCCCATTTGATTTTATCACACAGTAAAAATACATAAATAATTATTATTTATCATTTTCGTTAGTAAAATTATATTTTGGTAATAATAAAATCAATAATGATAATAATTCTTAAAATTTAGTCATTCTAAAACATAGGTAAATATAGTAATTTTTGTAAACGTTTGTATTACTAATATCTGACTTTATCCCAAAATATAATTTAAGAAATAACCGTAAACAACATGGATCAAAAAAGTTATTTTGTTTGTTTTTTTTTTGTTCTTTTCTTGGCATTATGTTCCTTGAGGTAAAATAATATTTCCCTATTTTTATTATAAATTATTTTTAGAGGCTGCGAGCAACAGTTTTCCAAAAAACAAAATTTTTCTTAGTTGTTAATTTTTTTAAGGTATACATATCAATTTTAAACGAATGTTGCTTGTATACAAAATCATCATTAGAAAAAGAGGAATAAACTAGTATTTTTTTTTTTACAAAAAAAAACTACTATGGAACTAATCTAGGTGTTAGAATGTAAAATTTACGAAAACATTGATATATATATATACCCTTAATAATACTCTAAAATATGTTTATTAAGAGTAAAAATATTTTTAACTTATTCCTCATTGAATTGCCAAGAATACCAATATACTTACATAACAATTACCTATTCTAACAATAGATCTAATTAGACAATTAATTATTAATCAATTAATAATTAGGTATGTTTAGTTTTTTCTTTGCCGCATTTAATTTTTTTTTAAACTTATAACTTATGCGTTTAACCACAACCAAAAATGTCGAAAAAATTGATATTTTAAATATTTTGGCTTAAAAAATATTTTAACTGTTGTAAGTATAAAACTATAACAATAAAATAAAAGTTATTTTTAAAAAATAGTTTTAAACTAATTCGACGATTTTTAAAAAAGTTATAACGCGCAAACTATACTGCTTTTGGGAGTTTTCTTGATTTTTAAGAGAAAGGGGTCAATTTTTATCAATTTTTTACCCAAGAAAGTACCTGTTAGGCACGATTTCTAAACTTAAAGAAAAATATATCATAAATATGAATAAATCGATTCAGCGGTGTGTCCTAAGTCTTAACACACACACACAAAACATTTTTCTTTTTAAAAACTCATCACTGTAAAAAAAAAAAAATACCTTCTCAGCTACGCATCGAAGTTAAAAAAAACAAACAAATAATATTAACATAGAACCTGTCTATTTGCTTTTTATAAAATTGGATGTACCGACAAGTATGTAGATGGGTCGCAAATCCGCGTGTTTTGGTGTTTTTTTTATATTCCGATATATAAATAAACTGAAAATCGTGGATTCGTCTTGTTGTTGACGAGTAGATTTTCCACATAATTGAATTTTTTTTTTTTCGGAAATTGCACTCAACCAAAGTTTTTGGGTAAACGAAAAAAGTGGGTTTACGGAATTATTACTTTCTAAATGTTAAGTGGGTAAAATTCAATTTCTTAACATTTTATTGAACAAAAAATAAAGAACAGTTCTAAGGTAAAACCCATAGCGACGACTCTCGTACACGGGAAAATACATAGTTGGTCTAACTAAATTTGTGGCTAATTTAGAGACACAATAAATTAGTAATCCCACTAGTTGGAATAACTAAATTACTAGTTGGCCAAACTAATTTTTTAGTTAAAGCAATTATATTGTTATATATTGTTATGTTAACTAGATATTTATATTAACCATCATTTTAGTTTGACCAACTATGTACTTTTTTCTAGGTAATTTCAGTTGCTTTGTTTTTCTGTTCGCGCCTCATTTCAATATTAGTTCAAAATTTTAATTAAAAAACTGTGTTAAACACAAACATATAAAAATAATACATTTTTCAGAGTCCCAATCAACAAAACTGCTGGCATTGAGTAAAAAATGTTTGTTGTCATAGACATTGTTTATTGTCGTAACCAACTAGTTGTAATAATTAATATTTTTCTTTTCATCCGCATAAATTATATTGTACTTAACTATTTTCTCTTAAACTTGTATAACAATGAATCATATCGAGCAGAGTTGTTGTGAAGATGAATGGGAAGAAGGCATCGACCAAGTGATTATTGTCGGTGAAACTTCGACTTCATCACAAAAATTCCATTCCAAACGCCGCCGTGGGTCTGGCTATGATGTTGAACTGCTTGACGTAATTGAATCTAATCCCGGCTCGGTGTCGGGTTAAGCTTGCTTATCATTCAAAGGAAAGATAATGATCTTTCCTTTTTGCACATCTCTAGAGCTCCGAATGGCCTTATGCTACCGTCAGCCAACCGGCTGGTCCGGCGAAGCGGTTGAAGATGTTAAAGGTGAAGAAGGGTGTTCGAGGAGAGGACGTCGAGGAAGAAGTCGTCAACCAAGTAACCGTCTAAATAAACAAATCACAATACTATTGATTATTAATTACTATGGTTTACACACAAAGCCGTCAACGAATCAACCGGTATCGAGTGTAGTGCACGGCGAAGAGGTGTCATCCAGTGAGCCGGTTGCAGGTGAATTGGACAGGCGTTTTAAGGGTGTTGGGGAAAGGGTTTTTTTGTAATATTTTTATCCTACGGTTTTAGAAACAACTTCTGAAGACAATGTCGGAAGTATTGATGAGCCCGGTATCGATCGCCGTGGAAAATCTTCGACTAGAAGAAAAAAATCGGCCGCAGCCGCCAAACGCCGCCGTCGCAAGTCCGTTAAAAGGACCAAGGTAGATAAATTATTATATTTTACCTTCAATGCGGAACTGAGAAGGTATTGTTTTTACAATGATGTGTTTTTGATTTTTGTGTCTGGACCCACGATATCTCATAAACCGCTGAACCGATTTCTTCGTGTAGCAACTCTATAGATCAGAAATCATACCTGAAAGGTACTTTATCGGGCCAAAAATTTTAAAAAGTCACCCCTTCCCCATGCAAATCGAGAAAAACACCTAAAAAATTTACAAATTTTTCAACTTAAAATTACGATGCTCTATAACTTTTTAAAAAAACAGTCGAAAATGTTCCAAATTTATATGAATTGTTCTTCAAACATAGTACTATCGATGAACATTAACAACCAAAAAAAAATTTCATAAACCCTTTCCCTTAAAAGGGATAGAATTTTTTTTTTATTTAACTTTTTCAAGCAAAGTTTTAGAGATTTAGTTCTGAAAATTAGACCAAAGGTAGATCTAAAATGGAACTATAACATAAAATCTGTAGTCAAATTTTTTTTTTATTAAGGAAAAACTCCAAAAATAGGGTAAATTTACACTTTGGCCGTAGTCAGTTTCTAGGTTGCTATGTGTGTGTGTGTGTGTGTGAATCAACAGGTAATGAAAATATTTGTATTATATTGTTAATTACGATACATGGGTAACTATGACAGTTTATTTTTATAAACAGGCGATCAACCCTTATCGTATCCACCCTGCACAAGACTAAATATTACATTTTAAGTACATTTTGACCCGACCCCACTGTACTGGCTTGTGTTGGAAATCGCCGCAATGTATCAACGGCAGAGGGACGCACGGTCGCACATAAGCTATTACCGTAAGACACCGCGTTTGTTAGTTATGTATTTATTTGAGTTCTAACCTCTTATTTTTGTTGTAACACAGCCGACATATAATATGAACTACATATTATAAAGGTTTTACTTTGATCGAAACATTGTCGTCAGCACACAACAGCTGCACAAATCTGACGCCAACAGATGTCTCTGCACAAGAATGTACAATTTGATAATGATTATCACTTTGTTTTGCTTACTTATTATTACTATTTTTCTTATTTTGTTCTTTGAATATTGTGCTGTTTATCTTGTTTATTTTGTGTCAATAACCTTTTATGTTCTATTTTCATTTTCTATTTCATGTACTCTTTTGCTTATTTCGTTCTGTAAATGTTGTTATTTATCTTGTTTATTTTGTGTTTATACCATTTTATATTTATCATTTTTTGTAAATTTTGTTATATTTATCTTGTTTATATTGTTTTTTAATAATATTAATTTTTTTATAATTTGATCACAATAAATGTAAGAATTGAACTAAAATTGCCTTATTTAAAACTAGTAATTCAGTTGTACAATTGCTATTGGGAGTGGTGCAATCACGAGGTAAGGGCTGAGTTCCATAAACAATCTGAAGCCTTCCCTCCGAGATTATAAATCTAACTGCACCACTTATTAAAAACAATAACTAATACAATAGATACTACTTTGTCATGTCATCGATTTATCATTTGTGTTCTATTCTCATTTTAAACAAATCTAGTCCCATACATTTGATCTTTAGCTCATACATTTCATATTTTTGCTATTTAATGAAAAATTGCTCTGCTGAAAAGTGACAAATTTTATATATGATCATTTATATGAGTGCTATGTAATTTAAATAAAAAGAGTAAACAAACATTTGACAAAGTGTCAATGCAACTTTGAACAGGAGACAAGATGAAACAAACTATGAAAGTATTATTATTACTATATATTGTACCTACAGGATTAATTTGACATTTTAAAACTCAGAAAATTAAGACCGAATGGCTTCAGTACCTTTACTAGTTTTATATTTTGATGTTGGGTACTCTACTGAGTCAACAATTTTGACGACCCAAATTTAATCTACTCTGTTCCTGAAATAACAAAAATAACACTTAGACAAACATTACTATACTTTCATGACTTTCGTATATATACATATATATATATATGTATATACTTTATTTTTAAATACTTTACAAAATGATTAATACTATTAAGTAAATAAATGCCCGTTCTAAATTTAAACAGGACGTTAATATTATAAATTACAGATAACATTGCCATATATTATTATGTATTTGTTTTTATAACGGAATAAGATTTGAATATATAACAAAAAAAACGAGGAAAAAATGAATTTATATAATATTATTCGCAGTTATTTATATTTTTACAATTTAGGAAAAAAAACAAAAACAATAATATTTACAAGTTTTCTAATTTTTTCGAAATAGACGAATTTTCTTTTTTGCCTTCAGACGTTTTCACACAACCGTTGCCCAAAATCGGTTTTTGTTGCAAATTTTGATTTTCAGATGAGTTTTTCAGAACGTCCAACATTGCTTGCAGTTTTAACACATGGCCAGAAAAAACTGGTCCGCACTTGACAAACTCTTCTATCAAATTTTCAATGGTTTCCTTCAATATCAGCAACTCCTGTCGGAAGGTAGGTAAATTTGTTTTAAGTTTGAATTTGTATTCGACTATTATCAGATTGTCTGATTGGGTAACAATTAAGATAGTTGTCGTTGCAAAATGTGTTTTGTAGACATAAATTGTATAATGTAAAATTATCACCTGTATTTCAGCGTTGTCCTTTTCGCTGACACTGTCGCTCGAAGGATCTGAAGATTTTTGTTTGCTGCTGTTGAATTTCAATTTTTGAGTGGTAGGTATTTTATGCGATGATGTATCTTCGATTTTATGTTCCCCTTTGTAAATTAGCAAAGCCTGTAAATAAAACGCAAAAATAAATATATCTTCTTAATCTGCGGTTAAAACAAAGTTTGACGTCCCTTCAGTCTAATTTTCATACCTTATGTTCTATAAAATTTAGTTCAAAAAAAGGAAAATTTTCCACCCCCACTATAGGATAAGGTTTATGGTTTTTGTTTTATCATCGCTTATCAAGAGTGCTTTATCTAATTTAGAACTAATCCGGCTGTTTTTTAAAAAAAAGTGCTGTATTTTGAGTTGAACAACATAAAAATTGTATTTGGTGTCGTGGGGCTTGATATGAAAATTAAATAATAATAATAATAACAAAAAAATATTACAATATTGGGACTTTGCAAAATGCGGGACACAGTATCCACTATATATCATGATTAAAAAGTTTTTCTTAACCCTTTCCAGTATAAAAACAAATGAAATATCGATTTTTGATTTTTTTTTAATTATTTTATTTAAAATTTAAGTATCAAACCGAATACAATACATAAATGGACAAGAGTCAACTTGGTTTTAGAAATAAATAATATCTAATAGAAATCGTACGGTTGAGAATGGTTCATATAAGTATTGAAAAAACATAGATATAACCATTTATAATACTTGATTGAATTTTAAAAATATCGTCTCCTTCCCCTCATATACATATGTTTGTAACAGCTTATAATGCGTTTTTTACTACTCTGGTCCTTGACCTCTGGACAAAATAATTAGTCCAAATATCTAAGGGTGAAGTAAAGTTATTTATACACCAGTGTTAACGCTTCGCTGTGTTATACTAATCTACCGGTATAATATAACCGACGGATTTACCCCGGCCAATATATTATTATTATACATAAGTAGTGATGTAAAATGTTTTGGGATTTTTAGATTTAAAGGCGCTATTGCCGGCTTGAGCTTTATTAACCATTTGCAAAATTAATTCCACTTAACCTCCTAACAGCTGCACGTAAATCAACTCACCTCTCCTGCCGTCATTTTGGTTGGCAGCGTTTAGGCGACCCATTCAAGCATTATAATAATATTATTACTGCTGAACGTTTCAGCGACATAAAACGTCGTTAATAATAATATACTATTATGTCTGTTACCGGTTTTTGTATACAAGGTAAACGACTTTTGAAAATATTAGCATTTCCCAAACACAAATGTATACTATATTATGATAACAAATTGTAATCAAACTTGTATTTAGATTGTAAAAATTTGTAGTTTTAAAGTTTCACCGTTTCAATTTGGGTCGTTTTATTTTACTTAATCAAAACACTAAAAAAATAAAATAAAAATAGGTAATAATTACTTAATAATATTATAATTCGAATACAAATTGTAATCTAATATTTTTATTTTTAGTACTGTTTGAAAATTATAGAATTAATTACATTTTGCTGAATCACACTATTATTTACTACATTATATATTAGTCACCGCCAAGGTTGTACGTGCCGTGGTTGAAAAATTACAGTCAAACTACCCATTTCCAAGTATTCTTTTTTTCCCTAATATTCAACCAATCACTATTATTATATTTCATTTCAGAAACGTTTTTGTTGGGCTTTGTGATAATGTTAAAAGCAGTCTAGTTTATTACTAACACATATCAAATGTAAAAGGAATGAGACAAATATGAATGCGATTTTATTTTAAATACAATAATTAACAATTAAATAACATGAAAATGTTCATATTTTTATAGTTATATAAAAACAATTACCGCAGATTGCCCTGCATTTAAAACTAACACATTTTAGATGGCGTTCTAGCCAGTTTGGCTCAACACTTCATAATGCATTGGTATATTTCATAGAAAACATACTAGAGTCCAGAAATCGGTATGTTTTGCCAATATATATTTCTATACTTCTATCACCGGGCCAAGTTCTATTCTGTTTGGGAATACAAGCGGTTTTCTGTATCATAAAATAAATTTATCGAAAACAAATTAATGAATGCCGTGCTTACCCCGCCCTAATGTAATTTTCAAACATTACATTATTAATAACCCGCGCCAGCTTGTTGTGTTAATATATTTTATGCGGTTTAACACAAATGCATTTGTCATATCCGTTTATCGACAGCATTTTAATTACTTTTCCGTACAACATAACATGTACAAAGGTTTGGAAACGTATGTGCTCACAGGATAGCTTTAACCGCAATAACACATTGGGGTCAACATTTCATGCACACTGGTTGTTTATGGCAACTCCAAAAGAAGATTTTAATACAATATAATATTCTGATTGCTATATTGTAGGTCCGAAAACAAATGGAAATTATTTTTAAAATAACAGTCGCTTATCATCGAACTCCTATATTTCCATTAATATGCCTTTATGATTTCCCCTTATTGTGCATAATTTATGATTTGTACAGCGTTACCCGCAAACCGATTCACTCATTGAGATTTTTTTTTTAATCAAATATTTACAGTTTTTTCGAATAAATTTATCTGTGTTTGGTTTTTATTCGGAAGTAGTCACGGGCACGGTACAGCAACTCGATAAAAACAAAACGCAGCCACACGCGGGTAGCGATTGAAGTAATTAAAGATATTTTACACTATACAGTAAAACTTCTATTGACATCTTCTGAACAACAACCACTTATTTAACTTTTTATTGGACCTTTACGTGGTCGTATATTAAAGATTAAAACGAGAAAATGCACTATAAGACCTTTATAATAGCTGGCACTTTCATTCGACTATTTCGGCTGAGTTTTGGCAAGGCACATCCTACGTGTAATAACACTAAGTGTAACCTAGATCATAATGGCTAAAGGTGACGACAACGTGGGGGTTGGTCTACACTTGGTAGGGACATATTAATATGTTAATGTGAATTTAACGACATCTGCTAGGAAGACGTTAATGCAAAGTAGACAGCGCAATATTGTCGACTTATTTTCAAACAATATATTTTGATAATAATATCTGTGAATAGGTCTTGTCCTAGGCTAAAAACAGTAACATAGATTAAATATACATATATAGATTCAATATAAGTATATAATCTATGGCAGTAAAAATAATGAGGCGATAAATGAATAATTTTTTTTTATATAGAATATATCATAAAAAAAACTGTATTCTTCTTTTTACAACCTATAATGAGGTGTAAAAATGTGCGTTTGACATTTTACCGAGTATTGTACTTGAATTTATTTAGTATGTTATACCACAAACAAAAAACACACTTTTTAAAATATATATTACATAGTTTGTAAATGTACATTACCTTGCTACCAAACAATAGACCCAGCAAAACGGTAGCAGTGAGTTGAGCGTGACAAAAAAATATGACGTATTGCAAATCCGGATTGGCCGGGTACTTTAAAAAAATCCTGAAATAAAAAAATACACTTTAAAAAAAACTGTCGTGTTTAAAAGGAATACCTTCCGAAATCAATGAATTCTTGATATAAGCATTTTTATTTATTTATTTTTATAGGGTCAAAACTAGCAACAAATTCCCGTCCGGATGGAAGAGACAACTAAAAAAAAAATCCTCAATTCGATTATATGGAATGAGCGGAAATTAATTTTTCCCAACAAAGCTTTGATAAAATAAAATTATTTTTCCACGCCAATAAAAACAGAATAACCAATACTAATATGTGTTTCAATTGAGTACATTCGAAATGCACCCCATTTTATTGGTTGAAAATAAGTGTATCCAATTTGTATTATCAGATTTAGGTCAATAATAATTAATATATTAACGGGTAGTTTAAATACACACAAATAAATTCAGTGGTTCGATAAGTATTAAATTTATGTAAAAATGGTTACAGGCAGCGGTTGGTAACATTGTAAATAATAATTTTAATTAAAAAATAACAATAACATTTTTGTGTATGAAATACAAAGTTTTTATATGACATTTTTTTTTACCTCCCATTCTTCTGCAAAAACTCCATACCCACTTATGGTTTTTAAAAGGCAAACCCTAAAAATAATTACGTTTCGAGATAGGTGATGTTATTTTAAAAAAACCAACATATTTCAAGCTTAGTTCCAACAATTAGTGTAATAACTGGATAGTCTTTTTGAAAAAGGTCGAGTCACTCTTTGGCTATGTTTTTAACGTCTCCTGAAAATCTATTTTTTTAACTTGACACCTTTTTCACAAAGACCGTCAAATTATTATCAAACCATCAGCAACACTATAATAACGAATAATATTAATTGGTTATGAAAATGTGTATGATAGCCAAACATACAAGTTTCTCTAATAACAATTGTTTAATAAATTGCCAATAACTCATTAAAAAATCAATATATTTTAAATTAAACACATCTTATTTAATAAAAATGCTTTATCTAAACAAACTAAAGGTTGTCATTTGAAATTTAAAAGTTATTATCGAGTTTTTTTTAAAAAGTGGGGGTTATAAAGAATTACTCTGTGTTAAGTTATGTATAGTATTTTATAGACAAACAAGTAATTACAATTTTTGTTTAAAAAGTTTAGTTCTAAAACATATACTATCCTATATAGTAGGTAGGTAGGAAAATTATAATTCGAACAATTAAACACTTTAAACATTTTTTTATTACACAAAAAACTACAATAGTTAGATTCGCTTCAATAATAACAACAATAGTAATCAATGGTTGAACACATAAGATAGCTCCAATTGAATTTAATAACTACATATTGTTGCTAAAGAGTTTTATAACAACATGTAAATTAGTAAAAAGAATAATATCAACGTATTTTGCTTGTAGTTGCTACAAACAAATATTAACGTCAACAGGACAAGGAAAACTTAAACGCAAAATGGTAGTAAGACTTTGTTTGAGCTTAACAAGCACACAAACTGCGTAACTAATAAGATTATTAATAATTAGATGCCCTAAGCGTACCACGATAATTACACCACAAGAACACTTGTGTTAAGGATTATACAAATTTATACCATCTTCGTAACAGTGGTCATATAATTTGTTGATAAATTAATTAGTAAATAAGAACTTAAATTAAGAAACTGTGTCATGTCTTTTATAAAATGACGACATTTTATTATTTTTATTACAAACGATTTTTCTTTTTCACTGTTTTTTGACACTTTCATAAATGGCCAGTTGGCGACATTTTGACACACTGGTGATTATACTGAGTGACACTTCTCCCAGAAAATACACTACAGTTTTAATGTAAAATGTTCAAATCTGCGTTACCAAATATACCGATTAAAAACAAAATTAATAAAATGCCGAAATCACTTTTAAGAGGTTCTAATACTTTTCAGTTTATTATTAATAGATAAAAAATAACGTAAATCTGCAATTCGTCTAAAAAGTCAATTACTTGTATTGAAATATAATTTACTGCAGCAAAAAATTGCTCCAAAGATCAAAATAGTTACAAACCTAAAGTTTATTAAAACTAAAAATTATTTTCTCTAAAAAAAATATGACTAATTAAAAATGAATAAATATTTTTAAAATTAATTATTATAGTTTATATAAAAATTCTATGTTTTCTTTACAAAGAAAACTTGACATTCAATTTTCAACCGACATCTCAAATTTAATTTTTTTTTTAAACAGTTAACTCAGCCGAGTTGTTTTTTTTTAACTATTTAGTATCAAGTAATTTTGTCCAACCTCGGAACTATATTGTTGTGCGTTATAATAATTTGTATAGTAGTTTAAACCTATAAATTACCAACAGGCCTAGAAATTATATTGACCTAAGCCGCAATATAAATCTCATTTTCAATTGCAGTTTCTAAAATTAATTTATAGTTCACTTAAATCGCCCACACGATAAATTCAATTAAATAACCGTCAATTATTAACGGATGGTTGGTGAATTAAATACAATATTGGCCAAAATCTATTTTTCATTTCTAACCGCTTCGAAACATTTCTTTCCGTACCATAATATTATTTGGAGAACTATGTATTTCTTATGTATTATATATATATATATATACATACATTTATAATACAAATTGATTTTGTATTTTGTTTTGTACAGCAGAACGAATCGATGTTTTCCTAGTGAACCGAATAATTTCTATTTAAGAGGAACGAAAAGTGCCAAATTTCGTACTAATAAAGACTAAAACGCGAAGTGGAAAACATTTTTTTTTTTTGGTATAAAGTCAACAACTTCTTTGTATGGCCTAAAGGCCAATTTTTTATTTTTGTTTTAAAAATTTCACTATGAACGTTTATATTTTTCCTTTTTTATAGTTTTTTTCCTAAAAAATCGAAATAAATGTTTAATAGCTAAAACAAAAATCAGTTTTTTAGCTCAAATAAAAAAAAATTAAGCTTCATATAAATTTAAAAAAAAGTGAAATCCGTCCAGTAGATACGCCAATAGATATTAGTCTGCCTTCACAACTACCAAATTCATGACGAATAAAAAATCAATTATTATTACTTAAAAATAAAGTATACCAACTTCAGTAAGTATATAGACAATAATTCTATGCACATCATGTTTAATATAATATGGCGAATGAATTAATAAGATGTAAATATTGAAGACGTTTTAGCGTTTTGCAAACAACTTTAGTCCAGGGTTGAGAATTTCCTTTGGCTTTCTACAGATTAATAAAATCAAGTTTTAAAGGGTATTATAAAAATTAACTTTTAAATTTAATGACAACTATTTAAAATATGAATTAAAAATGTTTCACTTTATGAATTGTTCAAATTAGTAGTATTCATTCAAAGTAAATGTTTTATTTTATGAATGTTTTAATGAACTCTATGTTAAAAATAATGGTAAAAATTATTTTGTCAATGTACTTTTTTTCAATAAATTATACAGTAATTAAAACAATTAAAGAATTTTTCTAAAAAATTGAAATAACGAAATTGTTTCTATCTAGGCATAAAAGTTACACATAGATTTTTTAGCGAAATATAACATAATAATATTATAATAGAACTATTTTAATAAAGTTTATTCCAATTGACCACTGAATCATATTATTCGATTAATCTGAACTGCTATATCGGAATGGAATAAAAAATATATTATGATTAATTCGAAATAATATAAAATATAAATGGCTCTATACCCGAGTATGTAATATTATTATGTATGTTTCAGGTAATATAAAATGGTCGTTGTTGGATTTGTGTACGCTTCCGGTTATGAAAGTCATTAGTAGCCAATAAATATTAAACATTTTATAGTACAAAATAAATAACATAATATTATTAAAATATAATACTACATTATTATTATGCAGTAAACCCCGCGCCGGTATTTCGATAATAATTATAATTGTGATCATATTGAGAAAATTATTCAAAGATTAATTACAATATATTAATTTTGGTCGTTATGAAAATATAATTGGGTTGAATTAATTTATATGAATGTTAGAAAAGATAAACTGTTATTTTATTTCCATAACTATCATTGGCCAGCTGGTCATTGTCTAAAATCCGGAAATTTGCAGTTTACTAAGTTTTTTTCCTACTAAAAATTATAAAATTATTTTCCCCTGTAAACAAATTTTTTCATTGAAATGAATAAACACATAGATAAAAATTTACAATATCATGGTCTTAGTACCGTGTGCTTATAGTATATGGAATTTTAAATTATTGTATAAAATAACATCATAATTATGTTAGATTATGGAGGTCCCCATTCCTTATAGGACTGGAATTTTTCTGATTTCAGAGAAAGATCCACCAAAATACTCCATCTAAAATTTTTGAAGTTATTGAAGTTTCAAGTTTAGGGTAGGAGAAAAGGTGGAGGGTATTTTTATTTTTATCTGCGCGCATTGCCCAACCGCACTTCTTCTTCCATCCTGACTTTTAAACTCTTATAACTTTAAAAATAGCTGTCCCCGAAACTGGTTATCGACCAGTCAAAATTTTTAGTACATTATTCTCAGTTTAAAAATTTAATAAAATGTATATGTTACCATTAAAGTTTCAAAAATTGCTATCAAAAGAACTAAGTTGGGGAGGGGGTGACAAAAAATGTGAAAAATTGAGATCACGTTTTATAAAAACATTATAAAAAAAAATTCAATTATTAATTAAACCCATTGAGATTTTGACTGGTTCATAATAAAAGAATCACCCTGTATATTATATATAATTTTGTTTATATCTTCTTTTATTCGCAAAATCATAGTGATATTATTATGCATTTTATACTCACATTGAAACATTCAGGAACACAGACATGATGAACTCGTTATAGATGGCTATGGAAATGAATCGACTTTCATTAAAAGCAGATGGCGTTTTCCGAACCATTACGCACAATCTAATCCCCCAAATCAGGAACACCACTTCCACTGTTAAAAAATGAAAGCACATAAAGTATACACCATGGTTTATTTATACACATAAAAAAATTAATATTTACATAACATAATCTTGTGCTAGTTCAATTATTAAAATTAAACGATTTAACGATTATAAAAGCAAAAGTAATAATATATATATTTTAAACAATGTCTCTCGCACTGATTCGAATGAAGAAAAACACATTTTTTCAAAAATTATTATTAGAAGCTTAAAGATAGTCGGAACTCATTTTATATCAAAAAAATATACTTTTAATTACATTTCCTTAGTTGAATTCAAAAATGTTGATTATTTTTTTATACGCAAATGAAAATAAGGAAATTCTTAATTCTGGTTATGCTTTTGTAGGTTGTTTACAAAAATGGAAGTGATTTAAAAATTAATTATACGTACTAAAACAATACTGAGATGAAATTTGAATTTAGCGGAGAAAATAAGTGTAGTTTTGTTTAAAGTCAATTTTTTTAACACAAATTTTTTTAGTCTAACCCAACTGAATAGAGCTAGAAAATATACGAATTGGATATATACAAAAATAGTTGCTCAGTTTTTATCAAATACGTTCTTTAAATATACATTTTAGTCAATAAAATAATACAACTGAGTCCTCGACCTAAAAAAATGTGTAAATAAAAGGATGGAAACTTAATCGCCTTTTCCATGTACACTAAAGAATAATATTAAATTTGAATGGTGTGCGAGAAACATTATATTTATTTCATATTACCTACCTATGTATGTTGTACAGTTTTTTATATGCTTATCTGAGAACTCGGTTAAGAATAAGATTAGCATATGAAAAGGGGAACCAGTATATATTTTTGGAATGATTAAGTGTACCGGCACATGCTCGCATTCCACATTAACTACTTAAGCGACCCATCATATTATTATCATCCACTTAAGTTACGGTTTTCAAAAGTTTTATTTCTCCAACCCAGCATGTTATATTGTTCATAAATTATATTTTGCGATGTACCTAAAGTAAACAACGTTGGAAAGTATTACCATACGTGTTCTTTTAATACAAGTGCAAGTTTGACACGGTTTAAAGACGGTTTAAACATATAATTTCAAACTTGAATTTTTTTTCAATTAGTATTCATTAAAAAAAAACATAGCAAAAATAAAATTTAATAACTTGAAAATGTCGTTTTGAGACATGTAAGAAACACTAAATTATTGTATTTGATATTAATTCGCTTTATAAATTTAATTTTCCTCTCTTCTTCTTCCCCTCCCTTTAGTACCACAAAAGCTTTAAGCAAATTTTTTATAGAACCCCAGCCATACATAAGACATGTTCATGTCAAGAAAATGCAGTAAAGGAAATGTTCGTTCATAACTTCATCTCGCAACTCTCAACTACAATAATTTATCACGCGTTATTGTGTCACAAAGATTTTACAAAAACGATTAAGTGACACCGCATCGTCTGTGTCGTCCGGCCTTATGCTAGAATAACGTCATATTATCATCAAGTCTACTTACGTATCGAAAATGAATGATCCCACCAGTCGGTTGGACAAATATCGGTTTTTAGATTATCAGCTGTGCGGCCGACGATGGTGTGGGGAGGAGACACCATGGTTCTAATGAATAGTATGACGGTAACGAACGCTACCATAAAAGTCAGAAGTTTAATTAATTGTTTGTCAGTGATACGGACAGTCTTGGCCGAGTTGACTTTGAAAACTTGCGACACTCTGTAAGCAAAAAAATGTACGACGATTTGAAGTTGAAAACATTTTTAATTAAAACAAATACGCGTATGGTTTATCTGACGGGGTACATTTCAATTATAAAATAAGTTAGGAAAACTTTGAAATAATAAAAAAAAACAACTATAAAAAAGTTTTGTACTTAACGACTTTTAAAAACTTTAAAAAAATTGTAATTATGTTATGTAAATTATATAAGCTGATCCACCCGACTTGTTTGCTCTGGTCTTTCCTTGATATAAAAGCCCGTCTCTTCTTTCTATTATTTATTTATTTTATCTCTTCCCCTCGTCATCCAATTTCCAACCGTATCTTGTTATTCGCTAATTAAAGCTTAACAACACTTATAGAGGTTAATCCTATTATGTTTACCTATTCAGACAAAAAAAGAAAAAGATAAACGGTGATGGAATTTTATACTGATGATATACATGTATTCATATATTTCAATATGTATATGATTTGTCGTCTGTCTTAACACAAACATCGAGTTGAGCATTTTATTTTATTTCAACTAATAAGATTTAGTTGTAATCCATTGAAATTAAAAGAAATGTAATTTATAAACAAAAATACTACTTACAATTAATACTAATATGGTAGTAATGCTTTTAGGCTGGTGGTCATTTCATGATTCACATGATGCATGACGCTCTTAGGTTTAGTTAGGTGAAGTGATGTGTGAAGCTTATACCTATATGGATGGCTCAGTGCAAAAGTGAATCAAGGCCATTTTTTTTTTACTTCGTGAGGTTTTTCGCGCTAATAAGGATTCAAATTTAAATCTTACAGTGCCACAATGAAACAAGTCCTTAGATTATCTCAGTGCCGCAAAATGACACTATGTATACTGCATTGTACCACAGAATATATTATTTGAAGAAAAAAAACCGTTTAAGAGCCAAATTACTGGAAATCAGCTGCGATGGACTTGGTTCACTTTTGTTCTAAGCCCTTCGTATAGCATTATGTTTGTCGCCAAAACAGTTACTATATCATAACATGTTAATATCTTTTTAGGGGTGTATCAGTTTCGTATACAAACTCGTTTTACTTAATACAACGCAAAACTTAACCGAGAATTCCTCGGAATAACTTAATGATGTTGAATGACTAATAAGACGTGTATTGTATGTTATATAATTGATAATGCAGCAGACGTTGTTGCGAAATACGTCTGCCCGCCAAGAATTAGTTTGTAAAAGTAATCACCTCCAAGTTTTCAACATTAGCGCTCCGTATGTGAGGGAAAATCCAATTTCCCGAAGCCAAAATCTCGCCGTGCACGTTATTGTATTCGGCTTAGGATACATAACTATAATCTGAAAAACGTTTCCAATTTAGACACAAACGTAATATCGTAAATATACATCACACAGCGTGCTTCGCTCATCCGTTAATCCGGCCGTGATGTTATTAAAATTTAAAGTGAAATTGCAATTTTTTAATAATTTTGTAGCACGTTGACACGTGCGAAACTTTCAGCCTTGTTAAAAAAGTAAACGTGTTATGTTTTCAAACACAAAACAGAATTAAATCGGCAAAAAAATCCCAAACGCACTTACCGTGGTGTAAATGAAAAACGCTCCGAGGATGATGATTTGCAACAAGACCGGACTGGCCGCCTTAACAATCTAAAAAAAAAAAATTACACCATTCACTAAATATTATTAATATCAAGTAACACATCCGACACGTAAATTTATTGCCATCTGTAGACTATAAGGAAAGCCAGTACAGTAATGTCGGGACAGATTATATTGGAAAGTCACATGAATGTCATTTTGTATGCCATATACCGCATTTAACATCATAATTAAACTATTTTTTCTTTTGACTGTCGATTCACCCACGCATACTAGTAAACTATAAATTTATTTTTTTTTTAAATGTTTAAACTGTTAACACCAGAGAAACCACGCGTTTTTTTATTATCGACAAGTAAAGTTAGGTATCTTCTTTGAGTAAAGGTTAAGTACCTCAAAGTGACCAAAGAGGTTCTGAATAACCCAATCTATCAAACTTCAATCGAAATGGTTTTATTAACTTTTAATATTTAACTCGTAATAAAACTAAATGTGTTCGAAAACAAATTTTGGAAGAAAATGGTAATGCGTGGATTTTAGATAGAAACTTTTAGCAGTTGTTCCTGAAAGTTAAGTTAAAAAGGGTTAAAAGTTAATAAGAGGAGGAAAAGGGAGGAGAGAGAGGGTTTAAAGTTTAAGATTAAATGCTTACTGTGTTAGTAAAGGGTAAAAAAATTGTGCTTAATATTTTATTTAAGTTAGTCGGTATTATTTATGGTGTTTTTTTTTATACATACTATTTTCAGAATATACGACAAAATAATGCATGTATAGTTCTTGAAACGAGAGAAATCTACAAACTTCCATTTATGTCACTTTTTTTGTGATAAAAAGAGTACCGCTGTACGCAAATATGACAAGTAAACACGACCAAGCACTTTAACCATTCAGTGGAACTCGAGTCAAGAGAAATGAAATCATGCAGAAAAAAAATTAGTTTCCACCTCCAGAGACTATATTATTATTATTATTTTTCGGTACTTTTAGTTTTTATAAATGACTAAAACGCGGGTTTCATTTAAATACACAATTCGTGTGATCAATCAACAACATATTTTTTTGTAATATACATATTATATACTCATACTACATACAACTATATTATAAAAGAGCCAAACGAAATGGTAACCAAATGAAATGAAAAAGTAATAAAAAATAAAACAATTTAAAAATAAAATCGATTTTTTTTTTTTTTTTTTTTACATACCTAGGCGTATGCGATGATTTACATAACATAACATAACAATATGAACTACATCGAAACGAAAAAACTACATCAATTTAACCACGAGTCAACGGGTCTCTTTTATAGTTTTTCTGTTAAGGACAAGTTTAGGGCTTAAAAATATACCTACTTTTATATGTAAATTTATAATAAATAGTACGTTTGTTTATTACATTTTCATGTGTATTTCAAATATATTACGATGTAAATAATTTTATTCGGTTAATTGAATGTGTATAAAAAATAAATATATATAAAAAAATACGTTGAATTTGTTACTTTTATCATAAACTTTTAAATATAAACTGACGAAAATAAGACTCGCTTTAAAACGTGTGATATAAAATGGATACTGAGTATAATCATGATTGATTCATATGCAGATGATGATATTAAAATATAATTAACTTCATCAAAACAGTTATCAAGTTCGTAAACATATCCATTTCATCAAATGAACGATGCGACGTACCTAATAAGCAATCTAATGTTTTATGTATTGATTTTTAACGGAACTCGCTGCTAGTTTGTATTATATAACATAATACAATTCATATAATGAATGAATGAAAATTTCGAATCACAAAAACATCCTGAAACATGAAACCTACGTTTTAAATTGGGTTACAATTTGATATCCTTATTGTTGATCACATTCACAACCATGTATTTTGCTCGAAAGTAAATAAAGGCTCACTTACATCAAACAATCAACCAAAAATATTGGAAATGATATCATGCTCATATATCACATTACATTTCAAAAGAGTCCTTTTTTTTGGGCTGGGTCAATAGCTGTAATTACACATTATAGCAATTGTTTAGTTTCGATTCGTAACTGAGAAGGTATTGTTTTTTAAATGACTTCTCCCGTCAGTAAAATATGCTGAGTCCCCACTTTGACCCAACTGTACTGCCTTTTTTTTTAATCACACGTTAAACAATTCGTTTGCCATCTCAGTCAATTTATAGAACCAAAAAGTCATAATTGCTACAATACCTACATGGGAGCACACTTTGACAGGTTTTGTTATTTTTATGGATATAATATTACAACTACAATGGAGTAGATTGTGCTATACGTTTAGTAGTTCTTATGCGTTTAATGATGGAAATATTTCTATTCTGATTAAAAATAAACAGCGGGTTGTACCTTGAGATCGTTGTATTTGTATGTGAAAATGGCGACCATCGGCAAAAATGCGATAACCAACAAAGTTAGCAGCAATACTGTGATCCGAAGTATAATGTCATATGTAGCAATGCATGGACTAAAATCCACACAATCGTCGCAGCCCTCCGCACACATTTTGCACTGGAAATTGCCTTCTGAATAATATATATTGGGCTTTCCCTGAAATTGAGAATGTAACAATCAAAATATACAATATGACATTGTTACGTTAGCACAAAACTTAACATAATTCAGATATATAATAGTGGTTTTCTAAAATTATATATTAATATAGGTCACAATCGTTTTCTAAATTCATCTAATTGGAGGTTTTACATTGTCAGTTGTGTTGTGCTCACTTGAACAAAAACTGCATTTCAGATATTATTTTGTGTGGTTAATGGTAATCAAATTTTGTGTTAAGCAGCTAACAACAATTTAAAATCAACGAAAAAAACTATCTTAAACAGAAAATCGTATAGTGACATCGAAGAAAACAAATTGTTAAAATTGTAAACATAAACATGTAGTTCTTCTATATAGAAATAAAAATGCCGGAAATTTCTCCACAAACCCTACTGTTCCTTATACATTCATAAAAAAAACTCTTATTTTTAAAAATATCCAAAGTCTTAGAAAAATAAGTTATTTTTCAGAAAATTAAAAAAAAACATTCATTTACATTTTGATAATTCTGAAAAATAATATACATTTGTCACTAAATGTATATTATTTTTGACGTTAAAAAGGTCTTAAAAATTAAGTATTATTTCTTTAACCAAAATTAATCGTTTTCATAATTTATGGTAACAAATTTCCCAATTTTAAAAATACACCGTATTTTTAATAGTTTTTTTTGGAACATAATTTTTTTTTAGGAAATAATGCGTCATAATTTCTAGTAATGACCACGAAAGCCTTTAATACTTTCAGAGTAATTCAAATTAAACCGGCCAAATAAAAAAAAAAGAGTAAGAGTAGGTACATTAAATATATGAACATTTGAAAATATATACAAAGGAGAAATTGCAATGAGTAAAAATAATGGTTAGGTTAACCGTAAAACATATGTTATGGTTTTTACAAAACATAAATATGTTATATTATTATGATGTTAATAATTTGATAAAATAAAAACTGTATACAGACCAACATAAGTTTTTCGTATTCTTCTTCAACCACCACGCCGTTAAAATATTTTTCTTGAGTACTTATGTCTGGAAAATAATATCCTTTGCGACACACGCATTTATAACTTCCTCGGCGAAACCCAAAACCAGCCAGCATAACGCACTGTTAAACGTTTTAAACAAAATATTACATTACACTTATATGGGTAAATATACACAAAACGACAACTTCACATATTGAGTATTTTTTATTTTAGTTTTTATTTCAAGTACTAATCTGAGCTTCGAGCGTGAAGCTGAAAAGGTATAGTATTAATTATGTTTTTTAATTTTTTCTTTTTTTTCTTTCTGGACTAACGACTTTGTAAATTAGAAACCGTACCTGAAAGATACCATAATTGGACAGAAAAAGCTCACCCCTTGCCCTTTAAATTCTTATTTTTAATAAAATAAAATATGCGTGACTCATTATTGAACGAAGAGAACACGTGCCAACAAACCGTTGGAGCACTTTCTTATTATACTTGATATAACATAAAACCTAATAAAAAATTTATTTAAATTTGCAATATGTATTTAAATCTGGTTAAGGTTATTAGTGTTGCAACTGTAATTACAAATTTTAGTTTGTTAACAAAAGGCCAATCATACAATGAATTCCATTTTCATATTAACATTTTATATTTTTATCTTGCTAACACTATTTAACACTTTAACATATTATAATACTCCAAAAAAAATTGTTTGATAGGTATTTCGCATAATAATAACTATTATTAATATTAAATATTTATAGACAAAGATTTCAAGTGTTACCAAATTGTACATAATAATTTACTATACTTACTAAAAAAAAAGTTTTTGTGTACGTGACGTTTAGTTTACTTTTAATAAGAACTCAAAACAACTAAAATTGATATATTATGTAAAATAAAATAATGTTTTATTTTTAAAAAATTATGGTGGATGAAATATAAATATGTACTAGTTTTAATTTCTTTGAAATAATGAAATCATTTTGGGAGATAGATGAAAGTTAAAAGCTACTCCTCTTTTTTTAAATAAATTGTTGGGCACTTGAAGATCTGATTGCAACACTGATAATTAAGAAGTATTAGTCGAAACGAATACATTTTTGAAATTATTAATCTAAATAATTGAATAAATTTGTTTACCATTTATTATTACATATTATACATTTCCATTCAAACTTATTAGGGTTGGTGCTATTAAGCACTAGGAAATTGAGAAGTTGATGAAACTTCCCAATATCCAGTAACTATAAGAGAATGCTTATTCAGTTTTTCCCTATTGTCTTAGGTACAAAAAACAGTACAACCTTTCACGGTTATTATATACTATATTAAATTATTAATACAGAAATTAAATGAGTATATCCTCTTCAAATACACGATGACACTTCTGTTCTCTTCGTTAGGTTGAGATCAAATTTAGCTTGTCTTTTTTTTAAGGTCATAAAATACGTTTGAGGTATAAAAAAGTTCTAAAGCAAGGACTAAATAGAATTACGCCGTCGGTTGAATGACTTTCATTGTAATCCTCATTAGAGTAATTGGGTTCACAAACAAAATATTTTATGGTTTCGGCCGTCCGTTATCCTCTATGTACGGATTTCCTGTTAAATCCAAGCACCTTTGACGTCGTGTGGCCTTTCGTTTAATATGCAAAAATATATGTAGGAATTCCTCTTTGAATTGCATAAATCATTAAAAACCCGAAATTCGACCCGCTACTAGTTTGTGTCGCAACAATATCATCAACAAATTAAGTACCTTGTGTTTGTAATTTTTAACATAAATTTAAAGATGGACAGTTTTTGAAATGCTTCTATTTGAAATACTACATTATCAAAATTGTGTTATTAAATTGTAAAGAGGTCATATACTCATATAACTGGAATAATTTTTATTTGGATATTACCTACATCGTATCATTACCGTCGATGAATGTATATTATAATGAATGATTATTACAATAATATTATGTACCTTTCAGTGTTTTATTTTATAGCGGATTGTGGTAAATAACTATAATCGTAAATAATATATAGCTAATACTCACTTGTGTAGTTTCATTTTTGCATTTATTAGACGAAGCGAAAATATTGAGTTTTGTGCTGCCTTCGGGTAAACTACATTGATCGATATCTACTCGTCTCAAATCAATATCAATACCACTCGTCCCTCTGAAAAACAATACAATATATCAAATGCCATTATAACATTTTTAATGGATTAATGACTTTTTTTGGGGGCAATGTGGTCGAGCGAGATAAGGTGGCAGTACAATATTAGTACACCCTGTTGCATGCTTGATTGAACCTTACCTAACCGGCGCAGCAGGGGGGAAATGCGTACTCTTCATCCCTAGGACTCAAATTCATTTGATTTTTTACTCTACAATTGTTACTTTCTTGATACATTTCCTTATCTATAGATTTCCTACATGAAGAAATCGGTTCAGTGATTTAGAAAATATTCGAGGTCCAGTAATGAAAATATAAAAAAAAACAATACCTTCTCAGCTCCAAAATGAAGCTAAAATTACTTTTATTTCTGAAAATATAGTTTTAAGTTAAATTTTTTCTCGGCGTCTCAAATATTAAATATCAACAAAATCAAAAAGTATACATCAACAATACTACAAATCATTGTAATAACAATAATGTGATTCAAAGATTTTGATTATCATATTTTTACTTATGAATCATAGATGCTCCTAGTTAACTAATATCTATTTTTGATATTACAATATGAGCAGGGGGTTGACTTTTATGAAAATAGTTTTTTTTAATTATTTCCTTTCAGATTTTTAAACGGTAGTAACACGGTTAATTTATTGAACTTGGTGTTTTTAAAAGTTTTTTTTGTTCATTTTCTCACAGTTCCTGTTGGGATAACATATTGGAATACATATTTGCATTTACTTACTTGAAAAAATATTTTCCATCTTTGAAAGCGAAAAAAGGAACGGTATAAGTGAGCATCCATATATTACCGCCTCCACAGTCGTAATAAGGTTTACTCCATTTGCCGTCTTCGTAAGTAACTGCGAGAATGTCATCAGGAAAACTTTGCGTATGACTTGTCTGATTATAAGTGTAAGTGTTTATAGCTGTAACAAGAGAAAAAAACAATTGATAACAAGTTGGTTATTAATAACAAGTAGGTTTTAAAATTCGACCAAGTCAAAAATAAGAGTATTGATCATACATTTTGTTTGAATGTACAATTATTTAGAAAAATGTTAGTTAACTTTTGCTGCACTATAGTAGTGTAGTACAAAAGTAAGGGTACAACTAAAATAAAATGTAAAAGTTTATATTTTTCCTTTGCTCTATGTGTTTAATACAAACCTACGCATTGCACAGAGTACACCAAACATGATTCATGTAGTATATGACTTTGTGATTCCGGCTTGCAAAAGCAATTTAACAAGTTACAAATGTAAGCAATGGTGTTAGCATTATCTTGTTTTTTGATAGAAAACGTCATTAATTTTATAGCAGTAGCCGCGAAAGAACCAGACGAGTATTAGTTTTACAAATATATCTTTTGTCATTATTTCATTGTGCCAACGAAAAACTTTTGATCAGATTTCTTTATAGTTTTATACTGTATACGTGTATACTTTTAAAGACTTTTTTTCTAGTCTATACCCAGTAATCAAAGATAATACAAGCTATTTTAAAATCTACTTTTATTTACACCAAGAACTCAAGGAGGTCTCCAATGAAAACTAAATATCGTATGGTAATTGATATGTATCTGGAAAAAAGAAAAATGTAAGTTTTATACCTAAACAAGAACAATTAGTGCACGGTGTATTGTTATGGTGGACAGTTGCACGGTTAATAGTATATAAAATATTATATAAATATGTTTAAGTAAAAAAACAACTTTATTGAAAAGTAGAGTAGTTCCTTCAACTAGTTACTAAGAACAGTGAACGCATGTTTTTTGGCTTACTACATAATATTTCCATAGAGATAGACTTAATAAATATGGTATTAGTTTATACAAAAACAAAATTAAAATGATAAAGAAAATATAGCAGCAAATATATAATTTTGTATGCGTATGCATACAAAGTCCGCCATAAAAGTTTTAAGACTAATTTTATTATTAACAACAACTAATTATCCTTTAATCATTTTTATTACATATTTACTTTTCAAAAATGCCTCCCAACTCTATACTCTGTACATGTTTTACATGTTAATTGTTTAATATCGTTTATTTTTTTCATATTTAATTCAAATCTACAAAAAGAATTGCTCTAGTACATAGAGTTCTTAAGAAAAACTAAATAAAGTCCAAAAAATTGTGAAAACCCTAATGAAAAAAATGTATTTTATTCATGCAATGAAACTGCAAAACACCCATTAATTTATTGATGCATGTTAAAGTATATTATAATGTATATATTCATCAGTACCTCATAAATATTAAGAGGACGCTACGTCGCTACCCATACATTTATTAAATGTAAAATAAAAGGTGTTTTTAGCAAAGTCTTAATTTAAAGCTTAAACTGTAGAGTATACTTATAAATACATTAAACAGCAATGAGAATTCTAAATGAAAATAATATTTTTTTGCACGAATCAAAACTAAATATATCTTAGAATTGATATAAAGTCACTAAATTTTTAAAGTGAGTAAAGAAAAACTTTATCTAAGCGTTTTTAAATGTTCTATATCTCATCCACTGATGTTTTATTTTATTTAAGAGTACTAAAAGAACTTTAAACTTTAAAAATTAATAGAAAAAGAGCAAATCGAGTGCGACTCAAACAATTTATTACTTTTTCTTTTCGCGAGTGTTAAATTCGATTATTTCTTTACTTTTTTTTTATTTTGAAAACAGTAAGCTTTTTTTGAAACGAGCCTCTTCACTCGTCTTAGTCCCAAGCCAATATATAACAATTATGGAACAATAAAATGAACAAAAGTTACAATTAGGCCGCGTCTGTTGTACTTATTTTAAAATATACATCATTTTAATGTCGGTCAATAACTTAACTTTTTAAGACACATTAATATAACCTGGTATACACGTTAAGTGTTAACCTACAATTCTGGTTATGTAAATGTGTTAGGCAGTGTTAAAATATTATTTTCAGCAAGCTTATGTTGATTTGTTAACATTTATCTGAGAATAATTATTATATAAGCAAGGAAAATAAAATAAATTTTATTTTTATTTGGAGTGAGAATGCTGGGAAATGGGAATGGAATATAATATGCATTTGTTTCTATGTGTTGCATACTTAACAGTTCATCAATTATTTATTGTAATTAACTGATATATTCATTAATTATTGCTTGGTAATTAATTAAAAGTCGTTAAAACAGTAAAAATATGTGTTATATTGGTTTTTTTTTGTACTGTGCACATGACACATTATAATACAATTTACAATTTTGATTTATGATTATGTCACATTTAAATGCCTACTGTAATTATGAATCATTTGTTTAAGAAAGATGTTACATAATTTATCTGGAAAAATTGGTCTTATGAATAAATAAGGTTTAATTATAGTAATAGACGCACGGCCAATCGTTTTAAAAGTAGTTAGTTTTAATTTAGTTATGTTTACGCTATATGCTATTCCATACAAATGTTACCTCATATAAGTATAGTTAAAAATATATAATTGTTGTAACTCTATTTAAAACATTAAAGACATCACGCTAAGCCACTTAATTAACTTTATTTAGAAATTTACTGGTAAAAACATTCGAATAATGTTAAAACTTAGTATTTTCATTGAATAAACCAACATTAGTGAAAATTACTGAAGTTAAGTAACCATAGCTACCACAAAATGGGTTATGGTCATAGCAGCTACTGCGGTTAGATCGTCAGGAAATAAGAGGTAATTTACTACTTAGATTTTAGTGGCTTAAGCTGTAATATATTCAAGTTGAATAGTTAACTATAACATGAATAATTATAACGACTCTGTTTACTAAATAATTAAACATTTTACTTACAGTTCGCTCTAAGTTTACTAACGTTTAGCTCTTATAACCCACAAAAAGTAAAATGATGAACGTAAGGTAGAACGTTTTTTTGAGTTTTTCAATATCGTTAGATACAGTCGAGCATAACATACTCAATAACCAACGTCTCAACAATATCGAACTAGTAGAAAATTAAAACATTTTTAACTTTTAAATAGGTAATATATTATTAACTCCACATATAGAAATAATACTAACTGATTGGACAATAGTGTCCGACAGAGTTTTAAATTTGAACGATTATTTTAAAATTTAAATAACGGTTACATAAAGCAAAATAATAATCGCTCTTTTGATGTAATAATTTATTTAGTTGTACCGATTATGACAATAATATTACTATGTGTAATTTATTTGGCCTTGGCCGCCCAAAATAGGTACCTATTCTCAATACCAAGGTGGATTTACAAATCCACCTTGCTCAATATAATGTTTTTTGTACCATAAAAACTGGTGTTTGTGATGTTTGTATGTGTATGTTGGCGACACTGTGGATAACGGCGACGACCGACCGCGGCATCTTATCACATCGTCTTTTGCCGCTAAATATTTAACGGACAAACAATAATTTAATAACTGATAACATTTCATTATGTATAATTTTTCAATAATCATAATAACTCATACCTACTTAATTTTCTATGGAAATTTCGATATTAATTATTAATATTTGTACGTTAGTTTGTGTAGTTAACAGTGTTTTAAAACTTTGTTTATAAAAGTAAGTTTTAGTAATTGTTATTTTGTTTAAATTTTACCGTAAAGCGTATTGCGTGTTAATGATTTCTAATTTCTAAATCATTTCAGTTGTTCGTTGACAATATTAAGAAAATGGCTTGGCAACAAAACCAGACATTAGTAGGAAATAAAAATGTCAACACAAAAGCCCATATGTACGTCGAGTACAACAATTTGATTAAAGAACTCGAACAGTACATACCACAATTCAAAGTGTCGATCAAAGATTTGCAAGAACCGTCTCAAACGTTTGTGACAAACTTTTATACGGATGTATTTAGTGAATTTTTCTGTGATGTCAACAATTTAACTGAGGTACTAAAATATAACAATTTTATATGTACTTATTAATAAATTCAATTTTAAATAAATTAGGGACTTGTAAAATATTAAAACAAATACATTATATTAATTTTGTAGATTCAAGGTTCACAAATTGAAAATATCACCCACAGGGAAATGTATGGTGAAACGGTACCAATATTAAACATGTGCACCGCTTTGCGGTACATTTATTCAAAATTGGGTATTGACGATTTTGGTTTAAACGACATTTGTGACCCAAGTAAAAATTATTATCTAATTATTTGTTCAGATTGGCTTAAGATATTAAACATGTTTAAGTAAATGTAATGTAACAAGGCGAGTAAGAAAAATATAATTATAATTTATAATGAGAATATTTTAGTCGTCAACCGATGGTTTAAGTACAAATATTTTAAATGATTAATTCATGTCGACGGGTATTATTTATTTCAAGTTTGTTCACAAACCGTTTTGTTAGTACACACTATATCTACATAGTCATAGCATAGTCATTTGCATAGCTGCCATCGGCCACTTCAATTATACTCAACTATAATTTATTGTGATGTACAAAATCTTAGCCGGCTATAATATGCTGATAGGGGAATGTTGTTATTATTTAAAATTTTAATTAGCAACGACATGCAATGTCTGATTAATTTTTAACTAAACTGATAGATATTAAATCGATGATTATGTCGCTTCATGAAAATGATTTTGCTACGATTGTGTTTTAATTGAATAGCTAATAATTTTTAAGTAACATATTGGTTTTTAATATTAATTAGTATAAATATATATTTTTTTTAGGTCCAAAAAGAACATATCGTCTTCTTCAAACAATGATAAACTTCATTAAGTACAGCGATGAAAAAATAAACAAAGCCGATGTTCAAATGAAAGCCGTCAGAAATATGAAAGAAAAAATTGATTATTTACGAAAACAAAAAGACAGCATTAAAGAGGCTATAAATCAAAAGTCATTGCTTCGCCAGCAACGAGGATCCGAGTACATATCTGTAAGATAAAGATTGTTTTATGTCTTATAAATGTAAAATCATTAAAAATATAATAATAGGCTAATTTAAAACCATTATCATAAATTAGGTAGTCGAAGAAGGAAAAATTGGAAAATCTGAACTGATGAACCTCCAAGTACACAAAGATGAAATATTAAAAGAATTGGATAAAGTAAAACAGGAACAAGAAACAATTGAAAAACATTGTTCAACATTATGCGAACAGAAGGATAATGTAATATAATATTTTGTATTTACTAGAAATAGTGTTTGATACGTTTTTAGGTAACATTAATATTAATTTACGTAACACTGGAATATGATTTCTCTTACATTTCAGACAATAAGAGATATAAATTCTCTCCGAAGTCAAATCGTAGAGGCACCAGATTTGTTAAAGGCCGATCACGAAAGATTGAAACGGATGAAAAGTGAAGCTACTGAAAAAAAGTCTGCTATGATGGCACAAGTCAGTGCGACAAAACAAACAGTAATCATTCTAGAACAAGAATTAGCTGCACAAGAGAAAAGATTGCGTTTGTTAACAGACATAACGGAAAAAAACGATCAGTTAGCGTAAGTGGTTTGTTTAAAGTATGCTCCTTAAAACACGTAAATAATTGTACAATTTATAAAATGCAGAAATTCTTTTATTGATTTTTTTTTTATATATATTTTAATTAGAAAAGTAAACCATGAAATAGAAGCAATGATTCAAGAAAAATGTGACATGCTAGAAGCGTCTGAAAACCTGAAAGAAAAATTTGAAATCGCCCAACACGAAAAAGCTGACATTAATAATAAAATAAATAATATATCAAAAGAAATGGAATGTGAACGCAACGCTTTGAAATTGAAATATGACGTTTTGCAAAAGTGAGAATAATATAAGTATTTGTAGAAACACTTTGAAAACACTGTTCCATCTCATATTTTATATCTATGTATGTTTTCCTACCAGACAAACTCTGATGGGAATTTTAGTTTGATTAATTGGGATTATGGCTGTCTGCCAATGTATTCCAAAATTACAACGGTCCTTTTTACTATTTGTCTAGTGGAATGGCCTAAATTGGCCACTTAAGCTTTATTCCATTAATTGGCGACAGAGTTTGGCAAAATTTAATTAATTAAAGAATAACTAAACTAAAGTGAACAATGTATGTATTACATGAAATAAAAAGATAATATTTATTTTGACAATTTTTTATTCAATAACTTTCTAATAATAAATTTAATAAATAAAATTGTTTGTATATAAATTTTCATTGTTTTTCTGTTAACAAAAAAACCGTAACACAGGTCAAATATTTAGTGATACACACCAATTTTTCTTATCTTTTTTTTTTTTTTGACCATTAATTATATGTATAAAAAAAATTTTGAATAAATTTGTAATAAGATACATTTTTTGATTGGTCATTTCTGATTTAATTACTCGTCAAATAAAATGGTACAAAATAAAATTGTAAAGTATATCAATTATACCCCCTCTATTTTTTAATGGATACATCATTTAGTGGATTACAATTTTTGTGTGTAGATATTTTATATTTGTCTGTACCATACATTATATTGGATCGATTTAGTTTTTATTTTAATTATTTCATATGATCGTAGGGAGTTGGACGAAAAAATCAAAAACAAAAATAACTTCACTGAGTCTATTAAGTTAATAGAGAACGAGTTAAAACAATGTGATTTACAAAAAACTCAACTGGAAGAAAACGTGCATTGTATACTAGAAAATTATGAAAAAACAAGGAACGTTCTTACGCAACAGGTACTAAACATTATTCGTGTGATTTTTTTATTCGAATAAATAATTGTGAAAAAACCATCCGAATTATATTAATATTCGTATGAGAATTTGCACAACTTTACACTTACAAAATTAATAAATTGACATAAATTATAACAAATTTTAATGATATAATTGCTAATACACGCTTTTAATATTTTAATCGTTTAGCTGAAAGATTATACAGAGGCAGTCGTCGACAGGCTTGAGAAATTAGCCCGCGAATAAGTAAGATGACCAAAATATTTTACGTGTTATTATTTTGATTTTATTATTATTATTTTACTATTTATAACAATTTTTTTTTTTGTCATCTGTTAATTACAAAATTCGTTTAAATGTTGGTTTTAGTGTATACAATATTATTATGATGATACATTTTTTTTTTTTTTTTGTACAATTATACTGTTTAACTTTTTTCTTTTCGCTTCAATAATAATACGGTGTTTTTCAGTTTACAATGTGGAATATTATAGAAGCAACTAACAAGTATTCTATAATAATAACACACTCCTTATTGTTAGGTAAGCATTTTTTTCTTCTCTAAGGTTTGACCCGGAATGGGTTTTTTTTTTTATGTCGCCGGTCGTTAGGATAATGATCTTCATAAATAATAATATCCGTACCTCGGAGCTAAAGTGTATTAAGTCAAAAATGTCAATTTTCCAGTTTTACGGTTCACCTAGATTTAAATTTCGCTCTCTATTCACTGTGATCTACCTTATATGACGTATGAACTCTTAGATAAGTTCATCCATTCAAATGAAATAATCAGTTTAATTAATTATTTTATTTTTCGCCCCGAGACACGGATATTATTATTTCACTAGGTAAAAATTTATAAATATTAATTAACACAAAAGAAAAATAGGATATTTACAGAAAGACAAAAAGGAGGGGTCGTTTTGTAGGAAACAAATTGCCTAGTCTTATTGTCACTCCCGCCCATGCGAATCTTCACCCTCGTGTCTATGCGTGCAATTCCTTCCTTGTCTGAAGTAATTTTTCCACATCATCTGCTGTGTATTCCAAAAAAAAAAAAGAAATCGTTTTGAGATGTGGCTGCACGCGACACGATAGGTTTTATAACTGATGTTGGTGGGTAGTCGTTTCTTATTGCCCTCGAGTATGATCTTGTTTGAAAAATATCAAAAACAATTTCCCCTAGAATGGGTAGAAACTTTTTCTTTATCAACAATAAAGGCTTTCACCTTACTAACAAAATAACCCTTGTTTAGCCGATGCCATCGCCTGAAATAATTTGGTAATTTTTATTTTAAGTACCATTTTGACAGTTTTATTAAAAGTGTAGTATACGATTTTTTTTATAAAATAACTCCTCGCAAAGCAAAATAAAGGAAAAGTTTCCACCCTTTCTAGAGGAAAAGGTTTTGTTCCTTTTTTGGGTGAGGGGGGGGGGGGTCTTGACGTTTACTGACAATAAAGGTACACTGAATTTGCCCGGAGTGCTGTTTATGCTTCCTACGATATTGTTTGATTAGTGATTATTTTGGTTTGTCAACGTTTACCGATAGTACCTACTTCACCTTAAGAATATTCCATATAAATTGGGAACTGATTCGAAAATGTTTAAAAATATCGTTTAGTGTTTTTATTAGTTTTAGGTGTAAAAATATGTACATTTTTTGTTTTTATCGGTTTTCAATGGGCAGGGATGATCTTTTTACATTTTTAGCGAGATTAGAGGTTCAGAAGATATCGCGTGGTTCCAGACAACAAAAAAAAAAATAATAATAATAAAATCAATACCTTCTTAGCTGCGCATCAAAGCTAAAAAAATCTCACTTCCTCTTTATTTACTTTATTTTTTTTTAAGTTCTGTCATTGTGTTATATGGTCTTAAAACGTCAAAAAAAAAAAAACGTCTCTGTCGGCGATACCGTTTCGGTATAAAGTCTATTGTCTGATTTATCCGATACAACTGTATCACGAGTACCTACTTGGATTTAATTTGTAACCTAGATTCTTGCTGTATACCTGCAGTGTCGAATGTCCCCGTATCGTGTGCGATTAACTTGATGTCACTCTTACAAATAGCTTCATCGATTTTACACGGCCTAAGGCTACAGATGTGCTGTAAACCGTACAGAATTACTGTAGCTGTGATCGAAGCTGAAAAACTACTGTAAATCTTTATTCGTCCACATTCTTAACCAAGTCGGGAAAATAACGTTGTACCCAATTTGTGAAGATAGAACTAGTATATTAATACAAAAGTGTATCAAACAAGAGTTGTAGCAAGGGACCATGAAGTTTTGTTTTACTCCGGGATTGTTGCTAGCAACACACCCATGGCCATACAAGTTTAAGTGAATTGTCGATTTGACCGCAACTTTGCCATATTAGTTTTTGGTAATTTCAAACCTTCGCTTCAACACTACCGCATGATGGGATTGATGTGATAACCTTATTGGAGTACCTAACTAACCTCTCGTCAACCGAGAGGTACTGGCCAGCAAAGTCTGTTAAATAATGAACTTAATCTTCAGAGCCTAAGGCTTAGACCATATACGACCATTAGTGCTGTTCAATCGAACATTTTGCTTTTACAATAGCACTTGAGGACTTGGTAAGTACACAAATTCACAATGTGCATAAATAGTAATACTAAAAAAAAAAAGTATTTTTGACATGGTCTTTTTTTTTGCCTATAGTTTACATTTTCCTATTGTTGAACTAGCTTTTCTTTTGTTTACCGATGGTAAAAAAATTCGTTGCTAGATAAATAATGCAGAGAATCGTGCTTTGTCTAAATTTTGTACAGTAAGTTCTATATCGTTTTTTTTTTTTTGTTAGATACTCGAGACTAAAAAATAATATGCATAATAATAATAATAATTGCAAGATGATGAAATTGTATTTTAATTTTAACAAAACTCGTATTTCCTATCGAATTCGAAAAAAGATTTAAAATATAATTAATTTAATGTTTATTTAACTTTCAAATTCGACGTAGGTATCTATAATGTTCATTTAGTAGAAAATTATCTGTTGTTTTCATCTGTTTTTTTTGTCAACGAACATCCGGAAAAAATAACCAATGTTGCCCAAATTAAAAGGAGCATATCATTTTAACTTCTATATATTTTATTCATTTTATAGATAATAAGCGTACAAACAAATTTCAAATTCGAATATTTTATGTATATAAGTGTATTCTGAAAGTATATTCGTCAACAATCCACCTCGTGATTATTATTATATTCAATTATTTACATATTTTAATACTTTATATATGTTTGTAGAAAGTATTACTTATAGCTAGGTACGTTGTGCTGACTTGTGTTAGCAATATTAAAAGACACAAAATTTGATATAATCGAATATATTTGAAAATTGTTTTTAATATAATACAACAAAAGTTTCACTTAAACATATTATTTATCTTATGTCTATAAAATGTGATAATAATAAAAATCCAATTTTTATTATTTTATAATTGTTATTATTTCGAAAAAAAAAAAGATGAATTAAATGTGAAATACAAATATCCCAATGAGGAAGGGATCTGTCTATATTAAACGAACAGCCAGGGTGTCTGGATTGTAATGAAATCCGAACGGTTCTTTGAAAAACCGCAAGAATCTGTCTCTTATCTGTGATGCCGATTTGTAGATTTCATCGATTTGCCTGTTAAGATCGCTCGTTGTCGGTTGTACGTCACAAGGCGGTGGTGTAAGCCGACGACGACAAAAGCTTGCAAACAACTCGCTCAACCGTCGTTCGATTTCCGACATTTCCTTATTGGTCACCTCGACCACGGCCAAAATGTCAGATAACAGTACCTTGGCTCGTTGTTCTTCTGACGAGTCCACGTCCAGGGTTTTGCCCTCGTAATAGGTCCTCGTGTATTCCAGAAATTCGGCGATGCCCGCGTTGTAGAGGACCGCGTGCCAGGTCAATTGGCTTAATCTGGCAAGCGCGTTTCGCACAAGTAACACCAACTGTTCGCCGTCTTCGATCATCCGCAGGTATTTCTCCAGACATTGCAACGCGGGCAACGGACTGTCCATCAGTTCGCACTGGGGCCCTATACCCCTCACATGGCCATAGTACTGTCTCAACTCGTCCACGAAGTTGCAAGTCAAAAACTGGTATGCAAGTCGAATTTTCCGGTTCACGTTTTCGTTGGTCACTATGGGCGTGCTGCTGCTGGACGCTAGTAAATGGCTAACGGCTAAATATTTTTCGCCATCTCTGACCGCGCACGTGTCCAAAGTGATCCATCCGGGCTTTGCTAGCAGACGGTTCATCGTTTCGACGCTGTTTGCTGTTGTTGCATTCAACAAGAACGCGTGCACGCACAGTGTTAAACAGTACAGACCGAAAAATGCCATTTTTATAACGTTTTTATGAACTCGCAATCTTGTTTTCTATTATAATACTTGAAAACGCTCACCAAATGCGCGTACTTGGATAGAAAATGTTTTGCACGTTTGTGGATGCTAATATGTAGACTGTAGGAATTCGAATGTCTATAACAACATACACTGTATTGACGTAGAAGCAAAGAAACCAAGTGTGAATACACTTGTATTCACAGGTGGAGTGTATAAACGAATGGTATTAATGTACTCACTGTAAGCCGTGCTAGAAAATCGTGGTGTTTTAGCTGAAAAACTATAGTCCCACAACCGGTAGATGATATTTTTTCATGTGTGTTTGGTTATCAGTATGAAACTTATGCGCAATTTCACACTTTCCGTGGCAATGGGTTGTTGATACTTTTATGGTTAATCATCGTACGTAGGTACATCAATAATATTTTAGGTGTTCAAAGAATATTTATATTCGGTATTCCGTACAAATTTGCAACTAATTAGTATATTTTTAATAATGTTATAGCATGCTGTGTGGTGAAATTTGAAATAAAAAAATATGTATTTTTTCTCAATTTTGACGAGGAAGGAGTAAAATGATTGAAAGCCCTTTTGGTACGATTTCTGATCTATACACTTGCTACTTGAAGAAATCGGAAAAAAATCTAAATTAAAAATCAATACACACCTTTAGCTCCAAGTCGTTGTAACTTGTGTAGGTAGTTTTTTTCATTCCGCTCACACATAGGGAAAAGATATTTAATATATATACATATGGACGACTATAGGACGGTGTTACAACGCCTGTATTATTGTCACGGACTATTTTATACATACACGTGTATATTATATCCTCTCCGGATACTATGTGAATCCCTTTTGTCTCGTTTGGAATACATATAAGATTTGCCCGAAACCGATAAAACGTTTTTATGTACCTCTACACGCACTGCCTTGAAATGTCAGCAGCAATGATTGTATCACAGATTAGATACAACTAGATAGTGCCACTCCCTATTAAAGCAATGTAATTTTATGAA